CCTAGCATTGGCTGTAGATTTGAAACCGAGGCCGATGAGCGTGTTGTGCTCTGCCTATGTCTGCCTCAACAAGTGAGGCGCGTTGTTTATGGTCTTACAGGGTCCTAGCCACAGCCCACCGGAAATATTTTCATTGAGTGTAGCCATTCCATATTGACTGTAGAGTTGTCAGAACTGAGCCCTGCTTTCTTGCTCTTCTCATTATCCAGAAAGCGTCATCTACAGATCGAACACGACGGGGGTGTGGCCAGAATCGAGCCTTTACGCGGGAATGTTGCAAAGATATATCTGGTGCGTGTAGATGAGCCGGAGACCTTATAAAACCCAGCAAAGAGAGATGCCGGCAGAGCTAGATCTGTTATTTGCTTATACATACTGTACTGTACTGTAGAAAATACTCAATTACCTTGGCAAAACACATATACACTTGACTGAATCTTCAAAATATTTTTTGGTTGAGCGATGCTTTCTTGACAACAACGGCAGGGTTGTTTGTTTGCAAGGCTCGCTAACAGTTCTCCCTCCGCAAAATGTACAATGAAAATTTACAGTACCTTATATTTGCGACCAACGCAACGGCCAGTTGTCTTTATCAAACAAGTAAAGCACCTTGATCTGTTAATCTGGGGAGGGACCACGCAATCACGTGCATCGTGGGTGGGCGCGTTGCCGATCCGCCGCGATCATCTCAGCCCTGGAGGTGCGAGCAGATCGAGTCTCTATTCGCGACACTCGCAACACACATGACTGCGATATCGTACAGCATTCTCGTTGACCCGTGCATACTACAATCACTCAGAGTCTCCAATTGATCCACCTCTGTCGCCTCCATGCCCACTTTGCTCGACCCGCCCAAGCAACAAGCCACCCCTTTCCTCGTTGCGAGCCAACACTGACGCTCACAAACGGTCCTAACTACGAGCCATTTACCTGGAAAATATCGACCAAAATGCTTCTCGCTACAGTATACTCTCCCATCGTTACTCGCCGTGATTGTACGAGTAATCTAGCCTTTCATCAGACGCCCAGTCTCTGCATTGCCCATCGCTCGTGCTACAAATGATTTTCCATACATGGCGGAGGCCGAGAAATAATGGCAGACGCTCATGTATGTGATTACTGTGGCCACGTGGCATGCGTGGGTGACTGAACTCAACAAACTGTCCCCAACTCCCGGATACCAATCCCATCTAAGGCAGGGTTGGTTTTAGGATCATCTTGACCGGTCCTGGAAGCTGTAGCGCTCCTAGAACGCTCGCTCAAGATCCCAGGGCCAGGCCTTTGCATTCGGGGATCTAGATGAGGTGCCCTTAGGGCGGACACATTGGTCTTCACGTGCAGGCTTCTGGCCCGAGCGATTTCAGTTGCAGAACCTTATCCTCGAACCTCAAATGGTACAGTGGTCCAGAGTTTGAGTGCATAAAAGGGAGAGCACGCGCGGCGTCGTGAGACCTCGGATAGTCAACTTCGCCATCTGCTGAAACTGATTTCCTAGATCAATCCAACACGGCAAAAGTACACTGTCATGCTTCGCGAACTTCCAAAAGAGCTCTTGCTCTGGATTTGCAAGTTTCTTCAAAAAGACCACATTCTGAACCTATGCCTGGTCTGTCGTCGAACCAATTCTATTTTCACCGAGGCGCTTTTTGTGTGCCTTGTCTCTGATGAAATTCCGCCACTCTTTCGTGCCGTGACAGCCCAAAGATTAGACATTGCAGCGCGATTAATCGAGGAATACCACGTGAATATCGACGCTGAGTACGCAGGGCAGAACTCGCTCCTCCTAGCTATTGAGCTACGATACCCACAGGCCGTGGATCTGGTCCTGCGATATAAGTCCAATGTTCGCTGTTCTTGCGATTCTGGAGGCCGAGGCCCATTGTCACTTGCAGTTATCGGCGGAAATACTGCTATCGTTGAGCGGATTCTTCAGTCTCAGGAGATTGATGTCAACGATCGATGCTTGGACGGATTGTCTGCCATGGTATACGCGCTGAAGCATCGCGAGCACTATATCTTACATCTCTTGCTTGCTGACTCTCGAGCGAATGTCAACTTTGCAGATCATTTCGATCGGACGCCCCTGCAAGCTGCGACTCTGGATGGGGATCATATTGCCACGCAGATGCTGGTACGACAGGCAGGAATCAAGATCAATCACCAGAGTTCCTACGATGATGCGTCTCTTCTCTTGGCTGCGAAAATGCTTAATCAACAGCAATCAGTCCGCATCGTAGAGTCTCTTCTCCTACATTCGGACCTTGATCTGAATATATCGGACTCCGAGGGGCGAACGGCCTTGTGGCACGCTGTGGATCGTGATCACCATGATCTCGTGAAATTACTTGTTAGCCAAAGGCATGTGAGATTGAATGATGCTGATAGATACGGGATGACGCCATTGGCCCGAGCTGCTGAGAACCCCGTTTTGCGAATTCTTGAACTGTTATTGAAACAGCCGAAGATATGCATCAACTCGCAGACTAGACAGATCGTGCCTCCGCTTTGGTCTGCATGCCGCGTAGGCAACTTCCACGCGGCAAAGGCACTCCTTCGTTTGAGGTCAGTCAAAGTCAACCAGAAAAGCCCTACTGGAACTACCCCGCTTCAAGTAGCTATCATTCTGAATCATCTATCCATTGTATCTTTGCTTCTCCGACAAGGAGACATGGTCGAGATCAATACCCGTGGTCCTCAACAATGGACAGCCATTTTCTTTGCCGCATCCAACGGGTATTTGGGAGTGACCAAATCGTTGCTGAAACATCCTGATACGGACATCAGCCTAATTGATGACCGAGGAAGGTCGCCGCTTTGGTGGGCTGAGCATGGAGGGCATTCGAGAGTTGTTCATCTGCTGCGCAGGCACAATCGACTGAAGAGGCAGAAGCGTTGTTTGCAGCGAGGTGTGTCTCACTGAGCTACAATTCTAGATGTTTAGTGCTTAGTAAGGCGCTTTAAACATGGTACGCATTGTGATCATACAACCATTGGTCTCATACCTACGCAATCCTTTCCAAGGTATTACCCATTCTACTTTGCATTTCGATAAGATCATATGAATCCTTATCTTGATGACCACATAGTTGAGTTTCCATAGCTCTAAGGCCCAAATTCGACGTTGAAGCTCCTTGCAATTTCGTTACCCTCTTCTTCAGCTCTTCACCTCCTCTCTTTTCATTTTTTCCTCTCACGTTCACTTCTTCCTCACATACCGGTGACAGTACTCCTTATTATTATTGTGTTCATGTTGTGAAGCAATCAAGCGCGCCCGACTAAACTACAAATTGTCGGGGTTCAAGACAAGTTGACCGCGAAGCCTTTACCCTGTTCTATTGTTCAGGCACCTAGTAAAAGCTTTGTTTTCTAATCTTCCAACTCCACCATATATCCTTCATAAGCGCATGAGGCAGATTCCCCAATCACATTCTTCTCCTTATGACCCGCAACATTCTATCTGCCTGATCAAGATTTGCTGGTTGTGCCAGAAATGGAACGAAGCCAACTGCTAGGTAAGTCTTTCAGTGGAAGCAAAATGCCAGCCCTACTGATGAAAAATCATGCAGCTGCTTCTCCCAAACCTCTTTGTTCTGTACAGACCGCCGAAGCTACACCAAAGTCTCCATCAAACGACGAAACTTGCCAAGCCGACTTTCCGGATTTCGAGAAAATTGCCGTTGACTGGAATTTCTGGCTCACCCCCGAAGCACTCAGCGGAGAAGGCCCACCGCCACTCGGATGAGAATTACGCAGCTAGTTCAACGCAGATAAAGGCTATTGTTGCAAAACCTCTATCATGCTATTCTACAGCCAATACCAGGGCTACCACACTTTCAGCAGGACAGTCTAGGATTTACGTCCCAAGAATGTACAGCTAAGCTGCTCCTGGCCGCGTGGCAGACTGTACGCAGAAGTTGGAGGCTCTCAAAGTTATACTCAAGCAAATAGAATCGTGGTCTTCAATCATACACTGATCCCGGAAGCAAGTGTTTACATTGAGTGCTATTGGTGCCAGTAGTATCATTGTGTACAATTGTGACTGTCTGTGACAAAATGCGTTCATTTTCTGATGCTGGCTTTCCTACAGCTTACAGCTTCATTGGACTTTACACCTAAGCGTCTGGAGCACCTTTCAATCTCTCCTTATACTGTGTCCTCAATAGATGGCTTTAAAAGGTAAGCCGCACCGAGAGACTGCAGAGCAGCTGGAAGTTGGACTTCTCAATGCAATTACGAGATTTAGCTTCACTTTGGTCATGAAACAGCTCGAAGTTTTACTGACGTTCTTCACATTGAGATATTTCAACCAACATCATAGGAACATGTTAATACCAAAGCAAGGCGAGTAGACATAAATGAATCCACAGAAGGGCGGAAACCAAATCTCAGAACTGGAGGCAAAAGTCAAAATGAACTGAATGCAATGGGTGCAGTAGAAATTGAGTTGATTTCATTGAAGGCAAATCGTAACGACATCCGCTCCCAGCAAGCGGCTTGTAAGTACGGTCTACTGTGAACGGACACGTACCTTCGGGGGAAATAGTCGTAACTCGGCACAAAGCTGAGCCCACAATGCCTAATTATCTTAACGTTGAGCCTATGACATCTCACAGACCGCCTCTACCGCTGGCAGACGCAGAATGAAAGTACTGTCATTTTCGAACGCGGCTTGGCAAAGCACGCTGGAAGGCCTCTCAGACCCACCGCCAGGATGCAAGCATGGCCTCTGATTTTGAACAGGTTGCATCAACAACGATGGGCATAGTTAGAATTTCTCGAAGCGAGACTCCATATTCTGTCTCGTTCAATCGCATCCAACTCTCTGCCTACTATTTGGGACTTTTAGAGATAAGAAGTAACTAACATTCCGTGTAACGGCTGCGCACCTCATTATGTGACAAGAGTTGTGAATTGAAATGTTCAACTGCACATGCTCTACACCCCTATGTAACTCCTGATTCTCTCTTGTGATTCCTCACACCATATCCATGCGCTGTTTTTTACAGCTCCAGCTTTCCAGTGGCGCAGACACGATGTACATATCCCCAGATCCAAGATGATGTTCGTGACTTTTTGGGAAAGTAATTGGTAAGCGCTGGCGTCAAGCGATCTGGAAAGAGAGATGAGAGCGCATCTAGAGATGAATACGGCGGGATCATACCTGAAATCGAGCCCCTTGTCAGCATTGATTCGCTGCCGTCGGTAGGGCTGGGTTCGGTCGTGAGGATTGTCTGGAACCAAAGGTCGATGTCGCTTTGGGCTGCAGCTTTGACTGGAGCGTCTGACTGCGAGGCCTTCATCACGACCGAGCGGCGGCTGGACCCGGATCGTTTACGGCGATCTTGATTTCCAGGAGATCGGGCATTGGATCGACCTTGCTTCCGCAGAATATGGTATTTTTTCCCTCGTAGAGATTCAACGCTTCGGTCCACACCGAACTGTTCACTATATGCGTCCGGCAGGGCTTTCCACGGCAATGCGCTGTTCTCATCCAACCAGGGAAGAAGGTTCTCCTCTTCTCGCTCAGACCAACCCATAGTACCACGCGGGGACATCATAAATTTTTTGATCTTGTGTTGATGGGACGGTTGTGAACGTCGGTTGAACGGGGGTAGGCTGAAATTTAAATTCTCACTAGGCTCAGTTAAAAGCAAAAATCAGTAGCGAAGTCGGAAAAAATTCTTCAAGCCTAACCGTATTCCGTGGATCTATCTGATGAGCCATTTTGGTGACACTGAATGCTAAAGGCCTGCTCTACATTTTAGACCTTCAACAAATCTTCAATTCTGGGTATGAAGATCAACGAATCCACATTTGTTCGTCGCTTTTGTGCAACAATGGTCATCACTGTTTAAATCTGATGAACAGGCAAGCATGTGCGTTTGAACATGATCTCAAAGAATTCAACATTGCTTGTTGAAGTATTGCCCGTTGAAGTATTGCCCGTTGAAGTATTGCCCGTTGAAGTATTGCCCGTTGAAGTATTGCCCGTTGAAGTACTGCCCGTTGAAGTTTTGCAGCTTTACCTGTTGAAGTTTTGCCTGTTGAAGTTTTGCTTCTTAAACTTCTGCTTGACCTCACCAGTGACCGTCAACGGTGCATTTTTCGCAAATCTATTGGAAATCTTGGGCGTACATCTTTTCGATGGAACCGGAATGTACGGATGGAGTTCTCATTGTCACCAGACGACCAGATCGGTTGCTTACTCAGGTATTACGGATCAAACGCTATAATGGTAGCGTGTCGTTTCCTTAAGACTAACTTTTGAAAAATTCGAAAAATTCGCTGTATTAGCATTTCTCTTGCACAAGCATGGCCGGAATTCGAAAGGTTTCCCAACCCAACCGACACGGAGATTTTAGACGTCGGTTGGAACGTGCCTTATCATTGTCACCTTCCGATTCTGACAATGCGCGAAGTTCATCGCGATCGGCAGAAGGTGACACCACAGAGGCTGAGTCTCTTCAGGAGGAAAATGGCTTCTCCAGTCTCCAACGTGAGACGAACCTGGTGGGAAGCATCCCGCAAGATGCTACCGAAGACTGGATACAGGGAGAGAATCTTGAAGAAGAGCTGAATACCAGAGAGCCTGGAATTACGGACAGTCGTACTATGATCGCCTTCCAGTGCATCGCGGAGTGAGTTTCTGAGACTATCCTGAAATCCTTTCCTCCAGTTTACTTACTAATTTTACACTTATCAGATTAGACACCCGAGTGAAGTCAGTCGCACCACTTTCACATAATATGACACCGCTGATACTGTTCCAGGTCTATTCAGGGTTCGCTGAGCACTCTTACAGATAAGATTAAAACTTGTTCAGTGGCACTCCATACAATGTGGGATGCGGCTCCAGTCCATGCACATGTGGGTGGCTCTACCACCAAGTTTTTTGAGAACTAAAAGAATCTACAAAAACCCCCCAAAAAAGGTCTTGTTGTAAACACGGGTTAACCCCCATCCCGGCGACATGAAATGCCCTGTGTGATGAAACACCTGCGAGGTACCTGCATTTTCAACCATCATTACTGTTTATCTACATACGCGGTGTTATCTAAGAACAGCGAATGCGATGATGAGGTGACATTTAGTATGAGTGCTGTTTAGAACCAAAAATATTACTGCCTCCCGGTGGTGAAATACTGGACTACGCGGACTACCGCGATATCAGCCCTTACCTACTGGGGCGCCAAGACCACCAACCAAGACGTGTAAGATCAATAGAAAAAATGTGAGTGTGGGATCTGGCCTTTCTGGTCGCCTGGTTTATCTTCAAATGTCATCAAAATTATATAAGATGCGAAAATATAGACCTGAGCGAAATCCTTGGCAGCGAAGAGATACAAAATGGAATAGATTTATTACGTTGAATACGCTTGAAGATTACGATCTTATGTCTTGGCGTATACATAATACAACCATCGTTTCATCCAACGCTAGCCCCACCACCCGTATGTAAATATTACGGAATATTACCTTCGTAGCCCAGTCCGACAATCAGGTGACTGCGATGGCCGTGCGTGAGAAAGCATTGTGCGTGGCAGGCCGTAATCTGATTAGGTTGCTTTCCCACTTTTGATACCCACTTTTAACCATCAGCGAGTCAGCTGCGGTCCTCATCCGCGAAGCGAAAGATCAGCACGCGTCCAGAACGGCAGCCAAGTACCAACTCTAACCCAGACTGTCCTACGGCAGAGCAGATAGGGCGATACATGGGAGGCAGCCATAGCCAGTTCTGCGACTGCCATGTGATCCAGAGCGAATCAGAACTGATACCGTAACCTCGGTACTCAGGGGTCTGCGGCGGTTGACTGGCTGACAGTGATTGGAGGTCTGAAGCGGCGCCTGCTGTTGAAGGAGTAGGAGCAGGGGTCGGTGAGTCGCGTAAGGCGATGATTCCAGTATCAGTATAAAGTGAAAAGCCAGTAGCGTCGGAGGAGAGATTGAATATCGCAGAGCCGATATCAACGGTCTGTAGGCAGGCGCCGGTGTGCGCATCCCAGATCTTGATCGTCTTATCCCTTGACCCGGACGCCACGCGGCTGCTGTCGTGGGAGAACACCACTGAGGTGACATAGCTGTCATGGCCCTCCAGGGTCTGCAGGCAGGCGCCGGTGTGCGCATCCCAGATCTTGATCGTCTTATCCCTTGACCCGGACGCCACGCGGCTGCTGTCGTGGGAGAACACCACTGATCTGACCCAGCTGTCATGGCCCTCGAGCGTCTGCAGGCAAGCGCCGGTGTGCGCATCCCAGTCATCGCCCATCGCTGGTGCCCTTGTGATACCTTTGGGTCTTTCGTGCCTGAAAAGCTCCTGGATCATACTCCGCGATGGACTAAATACAAGCCCACATCCGTACGCCTGTAGTGGGTAGTTCTCGATCGCGGCTCGGTGGTACAGAATGAACCGATACGTGTCTTGGACGAGGCTGCTCAGTCTGGATGCTACCGATCGTTTCTATAGCGGTATTAGAGCAGTTCCAATCATCAGAATAAACACATACCATCAGAAGATCCCTGAGTCTCTGTATCGACATGATTCCATCTGCCATGCTTCGCAGGAGACTCAGCGCCTCAAGCCAGTAGAGACATTGGGTTTGAAGAAACGTGTCGACAGTGCCACTATCCTGGAGATCTTCGCATGATCCACATCGTTGTAAATGGTCGACCCAGTAGACACAGAGTACCGTGCTATTGCGAGCGGATCTGAGTCAGGTGGCTGCGCCTGGTCAATATGAGTACCCAGGGCGCGCAGACTGTACATATCCCGCCGCAACGTCTGCTGCATGACCTGCAGGGACTGCCTGAACATTCGGCGATGGACAACTACATCACCAGACGGAAAAATCCTCGGTTTGCCTTTTCCGACCAGGTAATCCTTAGCAGACTGGTGCACAAAGTAGATGGTTCTGTCGCGAACTGTGAGGAATGAGCCGCTCCTCTTGATCAACGTCTCTATGTACTTAGGCTTTCCGGCGATCTGGTGTGGAAGTTCCGACACCACTCCCAGCTCCAGTAGCTGAAGCGGTCGATAGGCCAGTGCGGTCGCCGAGAGGATCAGTCGGCAGTAGTTCATGTCATCGCTCTCCATTCGTTCGATCTGTTCGATCATCCGCGCATACAGATCGTCCAATCCCCCAAGGACGTCGTTTACCACTTTCCGGACCTTCCAACTATCAACGTGCTCGAGTTCCTGGACGACGACAGCCACCCATAGAAACGTTCCTCCAGCTTTCCTCTGGAGGATCTGCTGAACATATTCCAACAACGTATCATCATCCTGTAGAGATTCAAGCTCGGCAATCCTGTTCGTGATGTACGCTTTGATGGCTAGAGCCACGGATTCCGCATTGTCCTGCAGCTCCAGGCTCAGTATGGATTGCGAGTCATCGAGCCGTATACGCTACACAACATGGTTCCGGCTGGAAATGATCCATTTCACGCGCGGTAAGCCTTTCGCCTGCTTGAGAATCAATCGCAAGAGCTTGTCTTGGTCCTGAACGCACTCATCGAGAGCATCCACCACGATGTAGATCTTGTCCAGGCTGGGATCACGCAGGATATCCAAGAACATATTGCACAACGCAGCCCATGCTTCCGCTTCTCCAAAATGAGGCTCGCCGGTGTCCATAAATCTCTCCTGCGCATGTGAAAGAAGTGATGGCTGCTGCTTCACGAGCATATAAATCAAACCACGCAGGACAGCACAAGCATTGCTCAGCTTGGGGTCGGTGCCTTGGCAGAAAAAGAACGATAGGCAAGTCTTAGCTTGGGAATCTTCTAGCTTCGTGGTCGGGCGAAGCTCGTCGATGATGCCACAGAGTAGCATCGTCTTGCCTTTCCCGGGGTCGCCCTTGACCCAAAGGACCTGGCTGTGGTTGTCGTCGCGCCAAGACTGGAATCGGGAGTGGTGGAGGATCCATTCGTAGGACTCTTTGAGAACATTCCCCCTGGTCTCATGGATGTTCGTCTTGACGTGGCGTGGATCGGTCACTGCGAAGTACTTAAGGCAGCGATCCTTACTTTGCCTATCTGGGCGTACATCAGATCTGCCACTGCCGACACACAATCTTGCTCTTCAGACATACCTTCATGGAAGATACTTGAATGGTACTATGTCAGTACTGCCTTTGGACGTTATGCAATCATTTGTTCGTGCTTACAAAGGCCCATTAAATGTCCCACCGACAAATTGCTGGCCCGAGCTGTTGTTGTTGTTCTGGATCCCTGATGCGTAGTTTCCGATAGAAGGAGGCGGAGTCATTATTAACGGTGTTGTCTACCTGACCTGCGGCTTCACTCCTTCCAGGGCGATATGTTGTCGTCTTCGGTCTATGGAGTTGATTTTGGAATAGGGCCCGGGCCTTGACACCATCAGCGATTCCGTAGGCGAGACGAGTTTCGGGCGCGGGGCAAGGACTGACGTGGTCTCCAGATCGGCAACAAAGCAAGGAAACCAGTTCCTCGCCGGCTTACAGTAAGGTCTTCTTGGAGTCTGTGGAGCCATTAGCTAAGTCAAGTGCGGAATCGCTATTCTGACTGCACAAACAGAAATGCGCTTTTCAGGGATTTGCGCTGCAGTCAGCTGCCGTGGCCCTGCGGGGGCACCCAATGTTAGCCCCGCGCAAAACAACCAGAGCGCCCACTAATTATGCACAATTATTTGAGATAGGGATTACACGGCATTCTGGTACTGAAAGCTCCTTATCCTCCGCTCGAGACTAACGATTGTCTGGCTACGAGTCAAAGAGCAATCTACATCCCCCTCTTACGTATGTCGTCTAAAGACGGAAATAGCGTTGATTCAGTACTCCGTACTAAAAATTCAAAGAGCCATTGAATGTCCCACCAATAAATTGCTGGCCTGAGCTGTTGTTGTTGTTCTGGGTCCCACCGCCGGTATTTACGTTTTGAATGCCTGGCCCAGAATTGCTGATGCTGCTCAGACACTGAGGTGGTAACGATGGCGGGATCGCAGATACTTCATCCTCAGCTTGTGCCAATTCCTTGAGCTGCTCATCCGTCGCCAGTTTCATCACACGATTGTGCGCCAGAAGTTGGACGTCCCTCAGAATACCCTGCATGAGAGACTCGACGAGACTACCCTTACCCAAGGTTCGCACAGCGTGAAGGTACCGCTCCATCCTCGAGGCGCTAGCGGAAGGAATCACTTTTCGGAATACCTCTTCGAGACATCTTGCCTTCTGTTTGCAGCCATCCAGCACAGGTTTTGTTGCCTGGCAGAGGGAGGAGGCGGCGTCGCTCATTTCGAGGTTCTGTAGAGCGGTTTGCAGTGTTTCTCTGACCAGCGGAAGTCGTGCGGATGCGTCGCGGAAGGCTTCTGGGAGGCCCGAGGCATCAGAAGCGGCACTGTAGATCTTGACGGTGGCGTCAATGATGGCGATGAGGCCGGAGATGAGGCCGATGGTTTCGGCGCCTGACATGATTGGCAGATGGAAGGAAGTCTGTCGGATCGTAGCACAGGATCAGCCTTGTCTTGGTTTTGCTCTGGGTTTGCGGAGCTGGAACCGATAGATCTTCTTTCTAAGTCTTGTCGAAATCGGGACACCGAGCCCCGCGTCAATATCTCGATCCCGCGGTCGGATTACAGTAGGTCATGATGGTAAGGTAATTTACCTGACAAGACAATACACCCGAAGTCCCCGCTTCATCGTTTCGAATTCGAATGGCTCAGAGAAAGCCGTCCACACCTTGTTCTAAAGATAGAATTGAACATTTTAGCGCCTAGAAAGTTACATGATAGTAAGACTCAGAATAAACCCCGGGATTGGGACCTTCCCTCTAGCCCAGAAACCAAAGCAGTGTCTACATCGCATGTTAGCTATGGCATCTTTATCTATATCGTTTGGTGACGGAAACCGGGGCACGCAGGTGGGAATCAACAACGGATCGATCCATCTTCCCCCGGGTAGGCGGTTTCACTATCGTCTTGGCAGTGGGGCTGGAGATAGTTTCTCTGTGTAAAACATGGAAGCCAATTTCGAATATTGCTGTACCTGTCCGACACACCGGCTCTGAGATCGCCGAACCACGATCTCTGATATACTCTTTCTACACACTTCGATATCTGGTAAGTTGATTAAAAGGTCAACAGACAGCACAGATCCGCTGAGCTTAGCACTGATTAAGCAGATTAGTGCCATATAACACCTGCCTGCCTTCTCTCTCCCAGATACCCTTCTACTTTCTGACGACGCCCAGTCTCCAGAGATGGCTAGCCTCGAAACAAACCATGTCCTCGCTCTGACTAGAGGCACCATCTCGACCCTTCAAAACTCTTATGATGTCTACAGCGACCGTTCTGATGCCGATAGTCTACCGTCGGCATTCCAGGTGGTAGCTCAACATCTACCGGATGTCTGTGCGGCACTCAAAGCCGCAAATGAGCAAGTGCGGGCGCTGAAGGACGAAGAGATGTGCAAGGAAATAAAGCCCACTGCAGCTGGGTGTGGAGAGAAAGCCAAGCTGTTGGACACGCTGTTCCTTAGGGTGGTCCTCGCGCCCGCTGCCGAAACGATGGGACGTTATCAGGAGGCGGCAAGGGAGATAGGCAAAGGACACCGCGTGGAGACCCTCATGAAAGGCATCATGGAAGATACAAAGCTCTTCTTGACTGTAAAGGAAGCTATGGAAACAGCGACTAAACCTCAGCTTGAGCGACTACTCGAGTCTATCAAGGAAGTGTCAAAGATCCCTCCATCGCTATTAGTGGAAGGCCAGACCTCTGGTTACAACAACTATGGGTCGGGTACTCAGAATATCAACAATGGCGATGGCTCCCAGAACAACAACAATAGCACGGGGCAACAGTTTATCGGTGGAACGTTTGGAAGCGACCCCTTGCGGCCGAAATGATAATCTATTATTCCTTTGATTTACACTAAGCAATGTGCTTGACAATAAGTAATAAGGCTTCTCTTACAGCGATACATCCAGGGATACTGCTCAAATTTGGTGATTTGTGTACTGTATTCACATTACAATTAGCTGCTGCGCCAGCGGTACGCCACGTAGATATCGGGTCCTTGCCTGCAGGTCGCCCACCAATCATAGCCACTTGCCCTTAGCTTCGGGCAATCTAGTGGGGAACAGCGCTTATGCAGTTTAATAGATTGCACCGCGCCGTCGCATTGCGACGTCACGTCTCCGTGGTTACACAGCATTCGCTCGCGTGAGTCAGCTTATTTTTAGCGGAGCACAGACCGCTTTCTAGCCACAGCACTAACTTACTCCTGCACTTTCGGTGACTCCGGCGTTAGCACCCATCGATCGCCTGTCAAGGGAAGATAGGAACGCCACGCTGACCGAATAATCTTGGACGAAATATCTTCGCAAGCAGTATAGTTCCGTATACACAGCATTGTGTAACTACCTAAGAGAATGACGGGAAACCTGGGAAGATATAGCTAGTCCACATATATAAGAGGCCTTATCAGAAAGTAGCGTGGTACGACGAAGAGATATAAAATAGAAGCACTGATACACCCATGTACAGTAGACTGATAAAAAAAACAAGATTTTCGGCTATTCTAAACTATCTAATAAGTCTATGAATCCAATACTGAATAATAATAACTTAAATTAATGCTTGAATCTCCTGCTCAGCCTTACGCTTCGGTGCGTAGCGGCCGGCCAGATAATGAGAGGATGTAGGCATCGACCATCGGCGGAGATGCATTCAACCGCCGTCACTAGCGTCCGCTTCACTGTGGTCCCTCAATGCCTTCTTAAATCATCCTTGCTAACGAGCCTTTTGAGGGAGTTGAGAACGCTGAGAAGAAATCCTGTCTCGTCCATGTTACAGTACAGTACAAACATTCTCCGGGAGAATTTCCAGATCGGCCAGCTCTCGGCCAATGATGGCAAGCCAGTGTCGGACTTTGTTCCCGATCTGCCGGTCATCTCGCTTCCAATCGATCGCTCGCAGCCTTCGCGCTTTCAACTGCTGATTGGCGGCTTTGTCGGAGATCGAAGGCTTGTTGTTGGCCCGCCGCCACAAGGTGGACGCGGAAATCCCGGTCGATCTCGACCGACTTGCGTGAGATGTGCAAGGTGTTGACGGGCTGGAGAAGTTGGGGCCATTTTTTAGTCCAGTTTCTCACGGGCATTTCATACTTGACAGAATCATTCAGGCCGCAGAAGGGCGAAGGGTATGGAAATTCCGGTATACGTGAAGTCTGCCGACCTGTAGAATTTGACCCGTGGAATCGTGATGACTAGAGGAGTTTTACTAGACTCAATGGTTGCTGCAAGTCAACAGCCATAAGTGATCTTGTATCTCTGTTTAGCAATGGTGAATCTATATCGTTTACAGTAGAGGCCTAACATTCGCGTTTTTGACTGTTGAATAAACATCAAGACAGAATTCGAGTCCTAAGACTTGAGCATATTTTCCAGTATACAGTTGTCACAAAAAAATACATGACTATCAATTAAGGCTGTGGCCTTTCAACGACAGCACGAACAAAGTGCCAGAGTAATCATACACAATCAAATAGTGAGGGTTTTGACCGTTGAAAACCAAGAGCATTAATCACGTTATAGCGATATCTGCTCTCATCTCTGCAAAGCTTGCATAACGTATAGATGTTGATTCGTCTCTTGGATGGAAGGAAGATAGATAATGCGGCAGCGACACGTGAACCCAGATCGTATGACCGAATAATGATATTAGATCTTCGATGGTCGGTTTCTTGACAGGCAACACATGACCAGGTGATGGTTCCTTTCATAGTGAGGGTGTGCACTCAATGAAGGCTAAAAACGACGTATCTTGCCAACTGAGAGGAACGCTTATGTTGAAAGGAGATCTCTAGATCTGTCTTTCTTTATGTTGCTGCTGATGACCGCGACGTGGTTCTTTATTCACAAAATAAATTTGGCTTGTTGTAGATCACTTCCAATTGAAGAAAAATCCAATTCACGCGACACCTAGTCTAAACACAAAAACAGTCATTAAGATTTCTGAGCTGCGACAAGTTTTCTTAACCACCCCACACTTAATTCCCCTTCACTAGGGAGTAAACTACTTTTCCATCACGCGCTGGTGATGAATTTTATGTCCTCGAATGAGTCTCTAATGAACGCAAAAAATGTGTCACAAGATTATTAGATCTTAGGCCTAAATCCGAAGAAAGAATAACAGCGTCAATCGACCAATTTAATTGTCGGTGAAGCGGGGGTGGAGAACTCTTTGCATTGTATTTTTTGGAGTTTTTTCGCTACTCTGTTCAAGGCGCGACGGCTATGCGAGACCTTGCTTGCTGAGGAAACATTTACTTTGTCGTAGGCCTTGCTGACATCATCGCATCATACATCTAGTGGGTGGGATGAAAACATCGTCGCAAGCTACATCCCTATGGCTTTAGCTACAAGTTTCCCTATGTTAATTTAGGGTTTCTTTTTATGGTCGCAAGGGTCTGTGCGTTTTTCGCTGGGTAGTTTGCTCCCAATGCTCTAAACATTTTCTGTTAATTATTAAAAAGAGGCCTTGTTGTCGGCCTAGTGGCACATAGTACACATTTTCGAGCCTTTCAAGATTCCTCCACTCAAATGATGCAGAAAATACTTACGTTACAAGACGGATATTGCTGGTCTGAGCAAAGCTGCCATGCACATGGCGACTTACCGAGTAAAGTGACAACGGCTGGATGGGCAAAGGCTACGATGCAAACTGCGCTAGATTATTGGTTTCGCTGATTGGATAAGACAAAAAATCAGCTGAACGAGAACAAAGTTATGATTATTTGTAAAAATGGAAATGAATTATGGTAGAAACCAAGGTCTTGCTGCAAAGAGATCCAAAGTGAGGCAATAATCCCTGTCGGAAACCTACCTTGGTTTGAGGCGCTATACACCACGTATCGGGAATCCCGAGTGTCAAGGTGAGAAGGAGCCTGGCTAGACCACGAAAAGCCCGCGAAGCGAGATGCGCTAGAACTAGCGCTGTTGATGGAGTTGAGTGTAGTGCTCCTTGGGCGCAAACATGCATATCAGCTGGAGGGTATAGAATTTGTAAAGAGGCAAGCAGGGCTGTCTGACACAACAGGCACGATAGTTAATGAACGTGTGGGAAATAAGCCTCAAGGTTCAGGTAACCAGTTACCCTAAAGCATTACGTACACCATGCAGCATACTAATGCCGGCGGTAGGCACGAGTGACTAGTGGGGCCAGAAGATGCTGCTCGGGTCGAAAGACTGCACTAAGACCCGATTGGATAATCGGAAGATACAGCGTACTCCAAATCAGGACGATCGTCCAGTGAGCGATCGAAGACACGGGGATCAGTCTAAGTTCAGATTATTGGATACTATAGCTCCCGAGTTAAGAGCTGGATGATAAAAATCATTGTATAGAGTGAATGGAACGTTGCGACACCTGGGAACATGGAGCGCCTATGCTATCTGTAGATCATATATTATGTTGAAAAGTCCTATCTGAGGCGGTGACTGGCTTATGGTGATCCTGACTATCACTAAGAATTACCGAAAACCACAGTCTATCCGAGTAAAGATAAATTCTCAGGGGAGAATTTCTATGGGGAGGTGTGGAAACCTAGGTCAAGATAAGAGTATAGAGCCAGGTAAACGAGGCACACACGGGTTGGGTGCAGCGGAGACGGGCGCGGGCGACCCACCAGCTACTAATGCGCGCTAGCCAGGTCATCACACGGAGTAGGATCGTCTTCGAGTCAGCTGAGGTGCTTTTGCTGTTGATTGCTGCGGGAAAACAGTGAGGCGTTTTCGCACGCGCGTCGGTCCTGCTCGAGATGCTGCTACCTCCGCTGTTAGTCGATGGTAGCGGTGTGACGAGTGATACAGTAGTAGGTGCACTGCGGATTCTGACTCCTGAGGCCTAATCATTCAATTAGCTGAGAGCCGACTAGGCCAGTGGAGCTGGAGCTGATTCGGACCCATTCTTTTGAATCGCAGTGCTGGCCTTGGCAATCAATCGCCCCTCCAAACCTATGCCTACGAACTGACCATGAAAACCCACCCCTTGAGGGCAGGTATCGGTTAGGAGTCGACCGAAAGGGCATCATTGACGGACGGGAGGAACCGCTAGCGCAGCCACTTATATGATTCATGTACAAAAAGCAAAGGCCTTTCGTCTCGTACGATTCATGAGGTCTTTAGGTCAAAATGATCCGGGAGACTGGCTGCTTGAATATGGAGAAGTAATTAGGAGTTCCAATCTTGGATCGCATCTCAAACTCTGTGAACTGATCAGAGGTTCTAGATCATGGCCTTATATGAGTACCATGGCTTTAGTACGCACATATGTAGGGCTGATTGGCGTTTTTGGATCGGGCTTATGCCGATAGCTTTCACACATGATAAACAGGATCGTCATAGTCTTAAATTTACGTATCAGAAAAAGTTCTAACAGCTTCAATGAATTGCCATTGATTTTAGTCAAAATATCTATTGAATAGAAGGGATATTTTTGGTCCATGTAATCACATAAACTTCGTCTGGCATAGACCGAAGGCTTGACAGCGCGAGAGCTATGATCATCAGTCGAGATAGAGAGTAGATCAAGCCGGTGATGTAGATGATAATCAAGTTGAGACTTTCCGGAAGAAGAGATCTGCGCGGGAATTTATGCGTGTTGCAGTTATTAACAATCCTCTTCGGTGCTAATCCTTTCATCCCCTTTACCAGTCGTCTCAGGTTAAGTAAAAACGGCAGTGGCTCTCGGAGAAGGTTACGCGTACTCTCCTCAAGTGATCTCTCCATGAGCTCAAGCATGTCGTCAGGCAAGGATGGCTGGTCAAATATATCCTTGTATTCGCGTGGCTCGGTTTCTCGTGGCTCAGTTTGGATACTCTCCAATTTCAATACAGCTTTCTGAGCATCGCGTCTAGTTGGATCGTCCCACAGAAGCTCACGCAGCAGTTGAGAGCAGTCGCCCATGAATTGTTGAGGATCGCCTGCTTTGACGGTGATCTGTGCTAACGGAATGGCAAGCAGACCTAGGATCGGAACTGCAATTGATAAAATAGTGGCTATTCGCCAAAGTAGCTGTTCAATGCTTGTCGGGAAGTCGAAATTCCAGGCTATCAAGTGCAGACTTCCAAAAGCAGCTGAAAGAAGAGCGAGGAGTGGAATGACTGCATGAGCATTTTGCTGTGATTCGCTTGGGATGTTGTCATTTGCTATACGATCACCCTGTCCCTTGGGCTCAGTGTTCATGAGAACATTCCAAAAATTGTCATAGAACTTTGGGAAATCTTTCGCTTGTAGTGGGGGTTTCTCTTTGATCTGGGTAGCCACTTCCACATTCTGCGGTTTGTACCAACAAGATAGATATGTAGCCACACCGCAAACAGAAAACGACAACGTAAGTGTCTCTAACTGTGAAAACGGCAGACCCCGGTATGCTCGGGCTATCAGCGAAAGAACCAGCTGTGAGATTTGCAATATTGCTAATCCCTTAGCAAATAAATCACTTTTTCCTTTATCTCTGATGTCTTCTTCGGTGAGATTGAGCGACTTGTAGAGCTCAAAATTCTTTGAAATATTTTTTGTAGTCAATGGGGTCTCCTTTTGTGCGCCGCGATATAAAATTCCTCCCATATTCGCAAAGTATGAGTGTGTTATTGACCACACAGGCTGCGTTATATCATTGTGTGCCTCGGAATCCTCTTGCTCCTTAAGGCTACTGGAGTCAGATGTCATGAGGATGTATAGCTTGACTGGCCAAGGGAGCTCAGCGATTTTGGCCACGTTGCAAGATTTGATGTCGAAAACTGATTGAACTGCCATTGCGAATTCGAGCAGAGCGTGAGCCAAGATAAATTCCGGAAATAAAACTGTGAAAAGCATCCATTTGCACTTGCGGAGTAGCTTTGTGGTCGGCTGGTCTAGTCGCGATGGCACGTTCAAATGTTGGATACTATATGTGCAAGCGAAAATCGTCGTTGCACAAGTCATAACAATTTGCCAGGTACCTCGTCGATCGGGACTGTTCTGCCAACCAACATTGGGATCACTTCTTGGAACAACGCTGCTATTTACCCCAAAAATGATCATCGTTTCGGGTGGATGTCGGCTTAAGAGAATGGAGATAATAGAGTGTAGCTTCCCGGATGGAAAGCTGGATGAAAACAGATTTAATCTAAATTTGTTTTAGATGTAAATGGTCGGCGCGACTGCTAACGGGAGCAGGCAGTGGTAGGTAAGTCGCTTGCCGAGATCGAAAATGACCGTTCGCACGAGTAACAGGTCGGAATGAGAATAGTCAGCAATGTCTGAAATACCCACGGTCTTGCGCGATTGATAGGCCTTTTGTATTACTGGTTCGGAGACTTGCTCACCTGGCCATTTCTTCGGCTATTCCAAAGTTTATGCAGCTAGGTACAGAGTAGTATAGCGAGGCAAGTCTTTGTGCATTGTGACGAAAAAAGCAATGATGGTTGGTGGTGGGGGTTGCATCGAGGATCGGGTTCTAAACCCGAAACCGCTCCAACGCGCATTTTGCTTGACACGTAAATTTACCGTAAAATACTCTGAGTCAACAATCTTGATATTTTGAGAAAAGATCATAGAGATTTTTTGAAGTACGAGTCATGCACGAATATCCGCTGTGTCACATCAAGTGTATAAGCGAGTAGCCGGAATAATATATTTGCCTTAATTTGCGATGGCACGGCCGTCGTGGCGGGCGTACCCGCACCGATCGGGTAAAAGATCGATTTGATGCAGCCAATAGAGGCCTGATAGGTGCCCAACCAAGCAGGCGTGGGTCTTTGCTTAGAAACTAAGCGCTTTCCTGGCGATCGATTGTTTAAGGCAACTTGTTAGTTCTCTTCTTCTGTATCGCAAAAGTTCTACGCAATCGAAATAAACATACCTGGAATTTGACGCGGAAAATAAACCGAATAAAATCTACGTCCTGTTGACTAAAGTTGAAGATGCGCCCGGAAAGTCTCTCCAGAATGATACAATGGATCAAAGAGAGTGTAGGATTAGCTTCTCAGGATCCGAACAAAGAGGGAAGCACAGCATCGGCAAGAAAGGGACGTGGTAAGTCATATTTATAACAGGGAGCTCAGACAAAGTGTCAGATGATACTAATGATACTTTGATATTTCTAGGAGGGGAAGATATTGCAGGATATGAGATCGAAAAATTTATGTTTCAACTCGCAACAGTAAAGGGTGACGTGTGCAAGTTGAGAGACGTTGTGAGAAACTGTGAGGATAAAGATCAACGTGACCGGCTAGGAAGGACAGCTCTTCATTGGAGCGCAAATTTTGGCAACACGCAGGCTGTGCAGATATTGCTAGATGCAGGTGCAAGTCCGAATTTACAAGATGCCTCCAAGGAGACACCTTGTATGCGGGCATCTAAGCATGGATGGGAGGGGACAGTGAAGGCGTTTGTGGAACATGAGACATGGGATGAGGTTGGCATCGAGGGGCTCGCTGACTACCTGATCAGGAGTGAAAATCCAAAAATGGCGGATTTTCTTATTGAGACCTTGGAGCATGTGAAGAATAAATTTGAAAACAAGATTTGGAAGAAGGTCGGAAGTTTTTTGATTGAGAAGGCGACATGGACACCAAGCTGGTATGATAAAAGATTGATATGGGCAGCTGGAATCGGAGAGGCAGACCTAGTTTCGCTGGTTCTGGACGAAGGAGCCGATGTCAATGCTGTTTCAGCGAAAGGTTCTGGAAGAACAGCCATCCAGGCCGCCGTAGAAGGTGGCCACAAAGAGATGGTCCAGCTGTTTCTAGAGAAGGGAGCTAATATCAATGCTGTTCCAGCGAAAGGTTTTGGGAGAACAGCCATCCAGGCCGCCGCAGAAGGTGGCCACAAAGAGGTGGTCCAGCTGCTTCTGGATATGGGAGCCAATATCAATGCTAAGCCAGCACCAATCTCTGGAAGAGCAGCCATCCAGGCCGCTGCAGAAGGTGGCCACAAAGAGATGGTCCAGCTGCTTCTGGAGAAGGGAGCTAATATCAATGCTGTTCCAGCGAAAGGTTTTGGAAGAACAGCCATCCAGGCCGCTGCAGAAGATGGCCACAAAGAGGTGGTCCAGCTGCTTCTGGATAAGGGAGCCAATATCAATGCTGATCCAGCACCATTCTCTGGAAGAGCAGCCATCCAGGCTGCTGCAGAAGGTGGCCATAAAGAGGTGGTCCAGCTGCTTCTAGAGAAGGGAGCTAATATCAATGCTGTTCCAGGGAATAGTTTTGGAAGAACAGCCATCCAGGCTGCTGCGGGTGGTGGTCATAAAGAGATAGTCCAGCTGCTTCTGGATGAGGAAGCCGACATCAATGCTGATCCAGCACCATTCTCTGGAAGAGCAGCCATCCAGGCCGCTGCAGAAGGTGGCCACAAAAAGGTGGTCCAGCTGCTTCTGGATAAGGGAGCCAATATCAATGCTGGTCCATCAACATTATCTGGAAGAACAGCCATCCAGGCCGCTGCAGAAGGTGGCCATAAAGAGGTGGTCCAGCTGCTTCTGGATGAGGAAGCCGACATCAATGCTGATCCAGGGAATGGTTTTGGAAGAACAGCCATCCAGGCTGCTGCGGGTGGTGGTCATAAAAAGATAGTCCAGCTGCTTCTGGATAAGGGAGCCAATATCAATGCTCATCCAGCACCAGTGTCTGGAAGAACAGCCATCCAGGCTGCTGCAGAAGGTGGCCACAAAGAGGTGGTCCAGCTGCTTCTGGATGAGGAAGCCGACATCAATGCTGATCCAGGATACACTTCTGGAAGAACAGCCATTCAGGCCGCTGCAGAAGGTGGCAATAAAGAGGCGGTCCAGCTGCTTCTGGATAAGGGAGCCAATATCAATGCTAATCCAGCATTCGAATATGGAAGAACAGCCATCCAGGCCGCTGCAGAAGGTGGCCACAAAGAGGTGGTCCAGCTGCTTCTGGATGAGGGAGCCAATATCAATGCTGGTCCATCAAAATTCTCTGGAAGAACAGCCATCCAGGCTGCTGCGGGTGGTGGTCATAAAAAGATAGTCCAGCTGCTTCTGGATAAGGGAGCCAATATCAATGCTCATCCAGCACCAGTGTCTGGAAGAACAGCCATCCAGGCTGCTGCAGAAGGTGGCCACAAAGAGGTGGTCCAGCTGCTTCTGGATGAGGAAGCCGACATCAATGCTGATCCAGGGAATGGTTTTGGAAGAACAGCCATCCAGGCTGCTGCGGGTGGTGGTCATAAAAAGATAGTCCAGCTGCTTCTGGATAAGGGAGCCAATATCAATGCTAGTCCATCAGAATTCTCTGGAAGAACAGCCATCCAGGCCGCTGCAGAAGGTGGCCACAAAGAGGTGGTCCAGCTGCTTCTGGATAAGGGAGCCAATATCAATGCTGATCCAGGATACACTTCTGGAAGAACAGCCATCCAGGCCGCTGCAGAAGGTGGCCACAAAGAGGTGGTCCAGCTGCTTCTGGATAAGGGAGCCAATATCAATGCTGATCCAGGATACACTTCTGGAAGAACAGCCATCCAGGCCGCTGCAGAAGGTGGCCACAAAGAGGTGGTCCAGCTGCTTCTGAATAAGGGAGCCAATATCAATGCTAATCCAGCATTCAAATATGGAAGAACAGCCATCCAGGCCGCTGAAGAAGGTCGCCATAAAGAGGTGGTCCAGCTACTTCTGGACTATATAGCAACACATTCCCCCTAAGAATCAACCACATCGTTACGTTTCTTTTTGGTTCTTTCTATCGTACGTTGTTGCTGTACCTACAATTATCGGTGCATTAGTCGTTTTTTATCTATGGATATGTTATGATTCAACATCTTTGCCTGGGGTCTGGCCTACTGTATTATCTCTACACCTTTCCGTAGGGATATATTTCAAAGTTCCCCGTTGGAATAATCAAAGACATATTATACGTAATTCTGCTAAGCTAAGGCCCCTATAGTGTTGATTCAGGGGCATAAAATACACATCTATTCATTGACGAATCAATCAAGCCTTTGCTTTGGAAGTACAATCACTGTCTACTTAACTGTATGCACAGAACCTAGCTGGTGAAACGAACACTGATCAGTGGTTGATTACAACCACAGAACAGCTCGGTTACACGACCAAGAAGAGCCATTGATCGTAAAGGAACGGGCAAACGGTTCCAGCACCTTCATTGCGGAAGGTGTGCTAAAGGACATCAAAGTATCTCACTGAGAGACAGATGCAGTACCTTTGAGACACGGAGGATTTGCAAAAGATCTACTGTTAAAACTACAACAAAGATCTGCGGTCACCACGCGAACAAGGCGTTAACGGGAAACAGTTGCAGTAACGTCACGACACACAACCCAACACGCTCGTTTCTTCGATATATCTCACCCACTGTTACCGTCGCCTGAATACCCATGTTGCCAATCCTGGACAAACTCCCGTACCCCATCGACGAGGAGAACCAGACAGAACGAATACTTAACGGGCATATGACTTGTTATTGCGGGCATGGAAAATGATGCGGATTACCGACCGTGCCCTATGCAACGGCTTTCGTGAAGAATTCGGGGGATGGACTTACAAATTCAAGGTGGCAAGCAAAACCCAAAACCCTCCTTAGGGACTGTCGATATTGACACCCCAATTGGCACCATTACTTTTCATATCCTTCCCACTAACACACCATTTCTCTTCTACCTCAAGGAGATGGATGCTAAAGGAGTCCCGTTCGCCGGACTGACAGCGTCCTGCGATTAGGGTTCCGAAAGGAACAAATAAGATGGCAAATCATTTGGATGAATTTGGAAGAAACTTGGCAGAAAGCTTATGTTGAATTAGAAAGGTGTGCCAGATTACTTTTTGGTCGAAGATTCAGTCAGCAAGTTGACAAGACGGAAGTGACACTTGTTTCGCACATGTCGCCTTTTTCAATCCACCGCCTGTTCACTGGTTCTGTTATCCAAGCTTGATGATAGGCGACTAGTGCTAATGGCAATACAAAAGGCATGAAGCTGGTCAAATTGATTTGATAGAAGCCTAAGATTGAATACCTACCATCAAATAAATCAACTTCTGTTCACGGTGGTACGTGCAATTCACCCGAGTCGAAAGTACAGCCGCTCTTGCAAGTAACACGAGATCAGCAGCAGGACGGTGTCGGGCTGTGATCAACGGGTGCTGATAAGAATTAGCAAGTTCCGAGCCTGCGCAAAATGACATACCATTTTCAAAACATCCATCGATGCTGTCGCTCCAGAAGCGGACAAGAAGTCTACGGCGGCGGACTCAATTGGCCAGCGTTCTAGGTCGTCGACACCAATAGCGCCATCCCCTTTGTCACACTTCTGCATGAGCTGGATCATGATTGGCGGTATGGCGGCGATACATGCGGCTTCGGACTGACTTGTTACGCAGTCCACGCAATGTTCCGGGCCAGCTGCAGCTCGTTAGCCAGATCCCCCACGGAAGGGCCTTGACTGACCAATTTTGATGACCCCATTAAGCCCGAGTAGTATGTTGGAACAGACCAAAGACTGATGAACAAGGCGAAAAGTAGCTAGATAGCACATGCCATCGAGAATCTGACAAAGTTAGCACAGCTTATCGAAACGATTACGATGGACAGACCTGACACATGATCGATCCCAGTTCCGCCTCACTAGGATACAAGTCCGAGCAATCAACGACATGCGCGAGAGTCAGCGGTAGGTCGGCAACTAAGAAGAACGCGGAATCCCCATCGATGTAACATTCATAGAACGAAAGGATATTGACGTGTTCCAGTCGCCCGAATCTATCAAGCAAGCTGCGAGTATCTTGCCTTTGGTATTTCCTGATAGCCACCACACGAGATGGGCGGGTGCGACGACAGGCAATAATCACATCGCCTGCGATGTCGTATGAGATGGCTTGCTGATAGGTGTCCCACGGGGACTCGTGTCGAACAATCAGGACCGATGTAATATCGTCAAGTCTATGCAAGCGTGGTAGACAAAGGCTCTTTATGGGGCCTGTGACGGTTTTCGGGCTGAACTGGTGATTCACAGGCCTTTTTCGCTCAGCGCTGGGGGACTTAGAGTTTTTGCAAGCGAGGGATTCAGGGTCTGTGAGTGGTGGTTGGGATTGAGCTTTGATAGTGTCGAAGTCAAATATCATGTGCTCTTCTAATTGTCTGACTGACATGATCAGAGCAGGCGTGGTATGTGTGAGATTGCGGTATTTTGCGGAAGACAAAGAAGCAAGCTTTTAACAGAGGAATTGGGCATTTCATTTTATACATCAATGACACGCCAAACGGTCTTTGTTCGCCCAATCGCTACAAGATGAGGTTGCCAACATTTAATGCTTCTCCAAATCAGATCGGAAAACCCACCAGAAGGCACGAACTGGCCACGAAATTCTTCTTCGACTGCGAGTCAGTCTTTCAAAGGCAAGCCGTCGGAAATTGAACGCGTCAAATTTGCCGAGAGCCTGTGCCTTGACAATGAATACTATTTATCGGCCACTTGAGCAGCAATGCATACGGGACCATACATAAAACTGCTGCGCACATCATAGGTGTGCTTGATCCTCAAAATCAGAGAGCAACCCGAAATGTCAGACACTTCAACGTATCCGCTTGAAAATGAAGCCGATAATTGACTACTTGCTTTCTGGACCAAAATTCACAAGACTATGTCTTGTTTTGGGACACTCTACGTATAACAAGCGTTGCCCCAATCCGGTAATGCAATTTACTTTCCAATAAAATTGGTTTGTCTCTTCTCAAGCATAACTGGTGATACTCTGACAGGTGGGCTCAATGTAGGACATTCTCTTCCGAGGACTATTGAAGGTCAGTAGGGATATACTGGCAGACACTCTAAACGAACTGTATATATTTATTTTTTTACACCGAGTTTAACACTCACTGCATCATTTCCTAGCACAATGTCTTGAATTTATGTTGATTTCTGGAAACAGGCGAGAAACAAATACGCCGATGTCTTCTTTTCTCTTGTGCATGTCCGTACTCACATGAAAGAACTCCCCAAGCACATTCGTTCTCATCTTGCACAAATAGCCTCTACCCGCATATTTCGAGGATCAAAGTCCGACATGCATCAAGGCCCTCGAGTAACTGACTAGGCTGTAAACAAGGAACAGGTGCATCATACAAAGGCTGGGCTGCAAGCTAGGCATAATATTGAGTCGCTCCAAAGGTCCGATCAGATAAATTGCAGCCCCAAGACAGTTCCTCATGACCATGTAGATAAACTCGGTAGCTAGTGTTGGAAATGCAGGTCGAATCTCGGCCAAAGCCTGAACCGCAGGAGCCAAACAGAGTAAACCGAGAGAGACGCAGTGGTAGGGGAATCGGAATCGAGCTCCCGATATATCCGAGTCGAACGTGAGAAGGTCCAAGACACTCCCAAGAAATGCAATGGTGGTGATGACTGCATATCCTAGTTGAATTGAGGGCTGGGACTCAAAGAGAAGAATGACTGTTGGCAGAGTGCTCGTCCAAATAAGGAGTAGTACAGTTCCAAGCTCAAATTCCGATATCCGACACGCCGTTCCATGACTTCTGCGAAAGGTGGACGAAACTTGAACGAGTAAGGTCAACAAGCACCAAATCATGACGCCGGCGCAGAAGACGATCATAGAGAGGGTTTTGAGGATCTCATTTCCGAACGAAGAACAATGAAATAGGAAAATCTGTGCAAGAAGAACAGAGAAGTAAGACAATCCAAAAAGACTGATAAGAGACAAGATTGCACAATGCCAGACACTGGAGGGGTGATACTTTTCCATATTGGGCCCGTCTCTTGCTGGTGTAACTTACTGCAAGAAGAATCCCACTTTCCATGTAGAGCTGCATCATTTATACTTGACAAAAAAGTGGCAAGCTGACGTTTGGTGGTTTCTTGCATCACAATAATCAACAGTGGCGAAAGTGCTACTGTACGTCTATTCACTTATTCTCAAGTTCAAAGACTGTTGAAGTATTTGACACATCTAAACAGTTGAGTGAGGAGCCGGCTTTTAGTGAGGGCATCAGTGAGACAACTACAGACCTTGGCAGCTCAATACCGAAACGAAGCAAATGGATTGATCGACGAAAGCCAACCGACTACATTCTATGCGGTCTCAACTGGCGATCAAAGAAGCCATCTCAGTGCCGTAGTGAGGCCTGGTGAGACTTGTCGCGTTGCGCAGACGCTCAGCTGGTTTGAATGGATGCTACTGGCTGTAGCATCGCATAAATTGGTGGCAAATATATGAATACTTTGATCAGAGCCCACAAGAGACAAGAAGTGCCTCATCAATAACGAAGATAATACCAATTGGCGTACACTCAATGGGCGGAATAATAAATTATATCTGAACATTCTATGTTGTCATTCCTGGCCTTTCATGGTCATATTGTATCGAAATGTCATAAATCCTCCACTTAATCTAGCTATTAAATCACTATTTTCGCCAATACTCATAATTGATGCACCAATCCTATCATCTAAAAGACAAATAACGAAGTCCTCTCTGGAATGGAGCTCTCGCCGGCTTCCTCAGCCATACTTGAATCATTTTCGTCTTTTATGGACCACCCACCCGCTTCTCCCAGGTAGCGAGCTCAAACAGAACAAGCATTCATTCCTTGGTGAGGTATTCAAACGTCCAATCTGGGTGATAATCGAGATAGACTCAATTCTAGCGTGGGCAGACTGTCTGATGAGCCCGTGGGAGGAGTGATAGAGGGATTCTGAGAGAGCCATATGGACGAGGTGCTTCCAGGGCATACGCTACCCTCAGTCAAATCTGTACACGCGCCTCGTGACGCTTCTCTCTGACCAGCCTCAGATCTCACACTTCTATCCGGGGTGACGGATACCCATGGAAATATTTTGTCGAGCAGACTTGTCTTGCTTGGTCTGCGCCAGTCTTCGGGCTCATACTGAGATAGAATGGGTTGCGTGCTTGTCAACGACCGGAGACGATTAAACACGGAGAACTCCAACTTCAGCTTGATGCTGTACACCACGGTCTTGAAGCTCACTTGAATGTAATGCAGCTTGAACTCGGTAAGAAGAAGCAGCATATTCAACAGGACGACAATGATGTTGATCCAGAGCAGATGGATGATGGCATTCCGCCCATTACGACCTCGGGTCTGAATCATAGGCTTGAGAATTCGGATTGCTTCGTAGATGTAAATGCCGCAGATGATGAAATCCTGCACGCAGAACCCGGTGACCTGGATGCGATCGTATATCGCGGCGGGACGAGCGAAGCGTGCGTCGCCTTGGTTCAGGCCAAAGAACAGGACGGTCATGGGGATGTGAAGAATGAAAAAGTTCCCGACGATCATCCACAGCACCCACCGCACTTTTTCCATGTGGCGGACAACGAGATCCAGACGGGAATAGAGCACGACCGCCTGACCAGTGACCATGGCGTACCACCCGATGATGAAAGGGATGGACGTAGAAAGGTTAGATGCTTGAGAGACAAACCGAGCCATGGCAGGCAGTGCATGAACAAGAATGCCCCAAGACGCGACTTGCATGCTCCAGAAATAGAGACCGCTGTAGCGCTTGAATGTATCGAAGGTGACAATTGCCGTTTCGAAGGCATTGTATGCGCCGATCGCAAACATGGACACGACCTGAATGATCGAGACGTTCTTCATCAGAATGGCCCCGACGTCCGATGGCAGGCTGGTAATGATTGTGTCCATGATTACCAAATACTTATTCCAAGCGTGAAGAGATTTGAAATTCTGAGGTGGACATGGTGGATAGACGATTTTAAATACTACTGCGTAAACATGTGATTTCTTACAATGAGATCATGACATGGTAGCTGGCCGCTCCTTGGGATGACTTTTGGAACTGGTAAGATCTTACTAGATCCATCAAAAGCTGGGTGGGTCGCAGACTCATTGATAACGTAGAAGCTGACGAATTCTAGATGCGATTAGCCTCAATCCATATCCCTTCCAGATCAACTAGACAATGGAAATCTCTCGTGCGTCTGGCAGTCCGGATGCTAGTGAAAAGGTTAGAGAAATGCAGGTTTCTCAGCTTCCATAGATTTAAGAGTGGGACTGTCTGAGAAGTTGGGCGACATTCTCGTTAAACCATGGAAACGCTCGGTCGGGCAGGACAGCCTCAGGCGAGGAGAACGCGATTGTCCATGGGTGGGTGATATTGAAGCTGAGACTGACAACTTCTTTGAGGTAAGATTCTTCGGATTTTTGCTTCTTGACCGGAACAGACATTCGAGAAGAACTGTGGCTATCAAATTCCACATTGCGGGTGGTGTAAAACTGTGGTCTAAAACTAACAGTTGCAGGCAGAATTTTATCCTACACCAGACTCACCCGCGGGATTGAAACTTGCGAACATGGAACTGCAAGTATGTCTGGCCCACGAAGCCGACCCTGATGTTTTCGGAAGCCAATCAGTGTCTGCATTGTCCTTGAATTATTCATGTAAGCCCATTTTGTCCTGCCAACATGCACGACCCTGAATCAGCGGTGGTTCTAGACCATAAATAGAAATCAGGCAAAAAGGATGAAGCGTTAAGTGGACGATTAGAGTGTTGGAAGAAGGTTCGATGCAGGGAAAATGGCTTCTAGACCTTTCTCTCGACTGGATCGACAGAACGATCACCCCGGAAACAGAAAAGTGGGGAAGATCTTCCCTATGTGGAGTCATCCTTTAAAGAGTGGATCGCGAATCAACTTCAAGGCATCATTTTGGGAGCAACATTTGTAGCGTTGTGCTCTGTGCTCCCAAACCGTGAGTCACATAAGCCGTCTTTATCAACAGAGCAACCTTAGCAGGCATTGATTGTGAAGGCACACTCAGTCGCACATCCGTTAGTCAATCGGATCGTGATTAGTGAATTCAATGTCAATTTAGTGGTCCTTGATTGGTCAATCCCTCGACACGGGTCCCCGAGTCAGTGTTCCTAGTCTCAAGGTCCCACCGATAGTTGTCTCGATCTGATCATGAGTCACGTATTTCCAGGTCATTTTTGATTGGCTTCTTGCGCCGGGGTATGATAGTAGCGTTGCAACCTTTTGCAATGGAGGGACCCTGATAAGTCCCACGGCGAATAGCGTTCAGAACCAACAATCCCCCGTCGCGTTACCATGGTGATTGGCCGACGCTTGCTGCTCTTGAGCCATAGAAAAATTAGGATTTGAGCCATGCACTGTACCAAGGAAAGTGGTAATTACGAAAAGAATATGGATTCCAATCTCACCCACGTGGATTTTTATTTGGAATGAGCCATACTCAAAAAAGAAAGGGGTACACTGAATGGCCTTTTAATAATCAATAGCCTTCTGCATCTACGCCGCAGCAAGTCGTCATTTCATGTATATATCAATACATCTCCTTGTTCATGTACGCAACAGCGATTTTCCTGCGGACCCATATCAGTACATCAACAAATGCATCACGTCCAATATCATGCGGCATGTGGATGTTTTGCAGTATTTTCTATCACGCTTACAGATTCTGGGTTGTCGGTGTAAACGCACATCCAAGACTCTGGGCTCAGAAAACTGGTACCAATAGGGTTGCTTGGCAGGGACACACATATCTTGCTTCGTTTCAGATCCTCTGACAATGGACTCGTCTATATTTAAAGATACGACCTCCCAATCTTTGGCAAGAAGAAATCTTCTGCTTTCCATCCTTCAACCAATACTGGCTTGTCAAAACATAGCATGGCAAAGGAATCAAGCTCCACCGCAAAGAAGCCAAACATCCGAAGCAGGTCAAGGGTGACGCGTGCGAGGTCCCGAGTCGGCTCTCCCAGCTCTGCTCAATCGGAGGTCTCTGAGTCTCATGCAGACTGCCTTTCTCTGCATTCAGTAGTGAAGCCGTCCAAAGTCCCAGTATGTTGATTATGGTCTATTTTCAATTGCTCATTTCTTGAATTATCCTTCACTAAGCTAAGCACTGCTGATACCATGCGCTCTGGGCTAATCATACTGTTTAGGGACATCTCGTGTCAAAGAGTGACCGGAAGAAGGAGTACAGAGCCATTCATGCCAAGTGCCTTGATGAGATGGACAAAATTGGTCAGCAGTTTCGATTGGCCCTTGCGGAAAAGCAAGACGCAAAGGCCCATGAGTCTCAGTTGTTGCAGAAGATGCGAGCCGAAAAGGCTGAAGAGAGTTCGAAATTGCAGCAGGCTTTTGCGCTAAAAGAAGCCGCTCTGGCTGAGAATCAAAGACTTCAGAATGAAATTCGTCAATTCCAGCAGCAGGTGGAATCGTTGACTGCTTCGACACAGGATAACGTCCCATGGAACGAGATTCAGCTGGTATTGCATCAAACACATGGCGAGTTAGTATCGGCGACCACGCGATACTGGAACGCGATTGAGTCTCTCCAGAACCGCAGACTGGCATCCTATCTACCCGGCTCCGGAGTGATCCACGGAAATTGGACGGAGCAGTACAGCCCGCTGGGATCTTTGGGACACGATACACTTCCCGGGTTCTCCGAATCGGGTAATCTCTCGCTGAGCAATCAGCGAGAGCCTGGGGCAAACAATGTGTTTGATTCCCTTATGTGATGCGTCATGATCCTTAAGTAGCTGTGGGTCCAATTCAGAATAGTGGAGCCGTGTTTTGATGTCAGATATTATGACGCAGACAAGTACCCTATGGTCGCATCATCTTCGTCGGCCTACAGCTTAAATACGATCAATTTTACCTTGCTGACGAATTCATACCTTGTTTTGAATGGAGAACTTTCCGAAAAGTAAATATGTAGATGAGTTTTTAAAGCATTACTGTTCATCGCCAAGCGGGGCCCGTCACGTCCGCCCGGTGGATCGTGATCGCCGTCCTCTCCTAACTGTATGCGCAAGATGATATTCCACTGCTCGAATATTTTATCCAATCACGGTAAGCCTTGGCAACTGGCACGCTAGATGGTCTACCACTCAGCCAATTTTAGTAAAGTCAAATCAAAGAATTGCCACGGGTCAAATGATTTGGAATTATCTACCCAAAGCACTGAATGTAACATCAAAGATTTTTTTTCCTCAATGATCTCGACGATTATTTGCCAGGGCGGCCGCGCAGGGTTCCAGATCTTGCTTTCGAGTAGGCAATTTTAGTAAGTGGGTCGAATTGCACTGAAACACCGGCACGATAAAGCTTAATTGGCACGTGGCAAATAGTCCGTGCGCGTATCAGCGAAAGCAATCATGATTTAGACCGGTGGCGGTATTCTAATTCATACATGTCGGACCACTAAAACTTAGTGATTTGAATTTAAAATCTACTCAGGTTGGTGATGCAGCTGGATGCTGTGGCACGTAGGTGGAAACAAGTGGTAATGTGAATCACGTAGCATTACTTTGGAAACAAAAAGCCCATCACGTCAAAGTCCGAAACCTCATTGGCGACAACGTATTCACCCAGTCAATTATCCTCCTCTGTGGTGCTCTGGTTTTCCGAAGCTATCGTCTCTATGGCTGCCTCCACGGCTACCAATCGTTGAACAATATCGTCCAGATCACTGCGAATGGTTCCAGTCTTATCTGCAAGAGTGCTCAGCGAGCTCTGGATCGACCTAGAATGGTATCAGCGGTGTCGCCTTTTAGAAGTACTTCCGACTTACTTCACTCGGGTGTCTAGTCTGATAGATGTAAGGTTAGCAGCGAGGTTGGAATTGATTTCACAGCAGAGTCAGACACTTACTCGGAGATACACTGGAAAGCAATCATGACACGATTGTCCGGGGTTGGAGATTCTCCTCCAATTTTCTGCTCTCTCTCGACATCCTCTCTCTGGATCCAGTCTTCGGTGGCATCTTGCGGGATGCTACGCACCAGGGTCGTCTCATGTTGGAGACTGGGGAAGTTGTTCTCCTCACAAGATTCAATCTCGGTAGTGTCACCCTCTGCCGATGATGAAGAATCTTGTGAACTGTCCGAATCAGAAGGTGACAGTGATAAAGCGCGCTCTAACCGACGTCGAAAGTCTTCGTGTTTGGCGGGCCGGGAAGCCTTTCTAATTCCAACCATGCTTGTGGTAGAGAAGTTTTAGAACGGCGGATTTACCCAAGGCAAAAGTCGGGCAGCTTTTATAAGGTTTGTCCGGAAGGTCTGAGTAAGCAATTGATGTCTGTCGCAACAACGAAGACTCTCTCAGATGTTGAGCTCCATGGAAATATGTAGAGCCACATTGTTTAGGAATTTGCGAGTGTGAGCTTTTCACGGCTCTAGATGAGGTCAAAGCTGAACAAGTAAAGTCATGTAAGATCAAGATCAACAGGCAAGGTGAACAGGCAAGATGAACAGGCAAGATGAACAGGCGAGATCAACAGGCGAGATCAACAGGCGAGATCAACAGGCGAGATCAACAGGCGAGATCAACAGGCGAGTTCAACATGCAACTTCAACAGACAAGGTCAACAGGCGAGATCACCATGTAGAATTTCAACAGGTAACTTCAACAGGTAGCTTCAACAGGTAGCTTCAACAGGTAGCTTCAACAGGCAGGATCAACAGGCAAGATCAACATACGAACATTGCTCTAATCACATTAAATTTCATCCAGATTGTGCAATTTGAGCAATGCTCAATATTTGATGATCATTGTTGCTCAGGAGCGACGCTTAATTCGAAAACAAAAAAAAGTAAAAGAAAAAAGAAACAAAAGACAAAAGACCTCAGATTTCTGAGGATCAGAAACTGGTCAAAGTCTGTGATACAAAGCGCTTCTCAGGTGCAGAATCCTCAATATGGCTCATCAAACCAATCCATGGAACAGACTCTGACTCGAAAAAGTTTGACCAACTTCGCCAGTGAATGATACTCTTGACTAAGTCTAGCGAGTATTTAAAACTCAGCTTACTCCCCTCAACAAAAACTCACGACCGTCCCGTGAGCATCATTTTAAATTTCACAATGTCCCCACGTGGAATCCTGAGCTGGTCAGTCCAAGAAGAAGAGAACCTCCTGCGATGGTTAGATGAAAATCGTTCATTGCCGTGGAAAGATCTTCCAGGCGCATACAGAGAAAGGTTCGGCGTGGATCGAAGCGTTGAATCCTTACGAGGCAAAAAGTACCATATTCTGCGGAAGAATGGTCGCACGACTGCGCGATCTCCAAGACGTCAAAGTCACCGTAAACGACGAGAGCCCCGCCGTCGCTCGACAGAACAGACGGTCATACATTCAGACGCTTCAGCCGATGCGGCAACCCGGAGCAACATCGATCTGTGGTTTCAGACAATTATTGTGTCTGAATCTGATTCTGCTGATAGTAGCGAATCAACGCTGACACGAGGCTCGATTTCAGGTATGGACCCTCTCAAGCTGCCTTGACGTGAATGCTAACTCTTTCTTCAGATCGCTTGATGCCGGCGCTTAGAAATTACCGACCCAAGAAATTACGATCGTCGTCATGGATCTGGGAGTATGTACATCGGATGTGTGCTACTGGGAGAATGGACCTCTAAGGCGTGGTATATGAACATATTGTGAGATACCGCAGACATACAAAAAAGTACGATGAAATTGGTTAAATTTTTTTGCTACCACGCACTAAAAACAGTATTTACGACATGAGCCTATTTCAAATCCCCAGATGGCTTATTTGGTGTCTTGATTATTCACAGCACCACGGTTATAGTGCGAATAAAAAGGGATGCGGTAGTCTTGCATTATTTAGTGTTAGACCGGTACAACAGATTTGCAAAGGTTCATTCAGCGGGCTATACCTGCCCAACATTCAATAGTGGCTTTCCCCTTCGCCTCTCGCCATTCATCCTGTGGATTTTATTCTTGCTATCCTGCTTAATCTGTTTGATATTGATGATGCTCGTAAAAAGATTGTATCCTTAGTCAACGGAGTTTTGGTAGTCGTGAAAGCGGGGATCTTGTAAAAAGCTTTGGCAACATCTATTCACTATTCATGGTTTGTAGAATCCTTGACCGGTAAGAGAAACTGTAAGGCTTTAACACTTCTCATGCAAGCTCTCAAGGCCAACTTTCGAGAGTGGTCACGTTGGGGTACAATTTGTCCTCATGTGCAGGCCACCGACCAAAGCGGGTCAGAAAAGACTGGCCGTGAGACCTCAGTCGATGATTGCGCAGATCACTGATTCTGAAGCCAGGAACAACATCAATGATCCTGGGAGTGAGCTTGCTCCTGGGACTGTCGTGTTATGTCCCGGTGCCGCCGGCCTAGCTCTCGGGGACAAAAAGACTCGTCTTGATTCTCTCTCTAGGAATGGCCCCGCACAAATGCATCGTGGCTCTGGCTATATAATTGAGTGATGAATCCCGGTGCATTTCACATTACTGAACAGCTTTCAATGTCTTCTCATTTTGCAGACAAAGCCACAAACAAAGTTCTACGTGGTCATGGATACCTTCGTGGCCAATCTGTCCCCGGGGGTAGGAATTGTCCTCCAAGAAAACATCTCAAACATCATCGTCATATCGATACTCGCTACTGCCATATACAATGCCATGGAAACGGTGTTGATCACGTTTGACATTGTCAAAAATTATCGCACCCTCTACCTCTGGAGCATACAGGCCTCATGCTGGGGCATTCTTGTGCACGCTGTTTCTGCCATCATTTGCTGCACATCTCAACAATCCACACTGCCGACGTCCGTGTTATTCATCGCTGGTTGGTACGTAATGGTGACTGGTCAGGCTGTCGTATGCTACTCTCGCCTGCGCCTGGTTGTTCTCGATATCAGCAAGGTGCGATGGGTGCTCCGGATGATCGTCGTGAATGCTGGCATCCTACACGTCCCTATGACAGTTCTGTTTTTTGGGAGTATAAACGGCGATCCCCGCTTTCTCCAAACGGCTGCTATCTTCAATCGCATCCAACTGGTCGGCTTTTGTGTGCAAGAGAGCGTGATTAGTTGCGTCTACATGTCTGAGGCGATGCGCAATCTGATATGTGTCGCCAGACTTCGCGGCCGTGGGCAACCTCGAGCCACCACTCATCTGCTTGGCATCGGAGGATTTGTGTTTCTCCTCAACATTCTGCTCCTCTTGACGGAGTACAGGCTGTATTTCATACAAATCAGTCTACAAACTATGATATACAGTATCAAGTTGAAACTGGACTTCGCGCTGCTGTATCATCTTCGCACAGCAATGCATGCCGATGCTCTGGGCTTTCCACCGGGCCGGAGGCAAGGACAGTCGTCGTCAAGTCATGCGAATTTATTGAACACGGCCACCTCGCCCACAGCCGTTGCGCTGCAGGTGATAAGGCCATCTCGCGGTCAGGCAGTGGGAGACCAGGACCCTTATCACTTTCGATCTAGCGGTACTGCTGATTATCACGAAGCATTATGTGAGATTTCACATCATCCGGCAGGGACTTGACGAGAATATGTTGACTTAGCTTAGCTCACCTGGGCGGGTTGCCGTGACTGAACATCATTGTCAGTCATGCAGCATAGACTTTCCTACCAAAGTTTGCATAATCCATCACATTCTGTCTCCATCATAATCTGCAGTGAATGAAGATGATAGACAGCAATCACAAGGATGGGGTTTCAAACCTGGCCAAGGGGTCATTGTCCTGGTACACCCGGACCGAGTAAATCCCGCATAACGAGGGCGTGCACATATCCGAGGGTCATAGAAAATATCGAAATTCGTACCCTTTCCATGAAAAGCCGAAAGATCCTGACGTATATACCGATTAACCTTTCAATAGATAACTCTGCAAGGTATTGTGGAATGATCACAGGTCTTGAAAGTCATACTCGTCTGCTTTGATCGCCTCGCCCAGAATCGACGGTCGAGGACCTCTTAAGCGAACTCGACAACCTTGCTCGGCAAGGCTATGAGATAAGATTGTACTATTGAGAATTCCGGGGAAGCCCTTTGGTCTGAAGACAATGAAGGGACGCGAATTGACCTTAAGCAAAAACGCAATACTTGCGGCGATCTTTGGGCCTCAGCTTTCCTTCTGGTTTTTTCAAAGAAATAAGGACATTAAAAATACCTGCCATCTGATCCAGCACTGATGTATCTCTCAAAGAGTGAGAACTTCGAAAGATACTGCCCTGCGGTGCGCACGGCTACATCCGAAAAGACAAAGCAGCCAGTTGGGTATGGTCTTCTAACGTGGGCGATACTTGCAAACCTGTCCCCAATCAGGACTGACGATGAGTGACCAGTGTTCTGCCGATGAAGGGGTTCTATGGTGACGAGGAGGAAGAACTGCGCGTTGTTGTCGAATGTGACATCATGTTTTCCCGCAGACGGACATGAAAAAGATTCGATGGTGCGAATTTGGACAACAGGTGGAGGGTCGATGATCTGCAAAAGCTGCATGAAAAATAGTGTACGAAAGTCAGAGACCATAGTTCGTCCTCCGATGTCCAAATAACCTCTGATGATATTTTTTAGCGGTAGAAAATTTGGCATCTGGAGGGGCTCAGCTAATAGGCAAGTCTGTCATGTGCAAGGTGGCATCCCTGCGCATCGCGCAGTCCAGACGCGCCATGATCCTCAATCACACTAAGATTACTGAAATATTGTATACTCGAAATCACTTAGATGTTTGGCTTATCATATGATTATAACTGCCATTCCTGAGTTGTCCAGTGAAGAGCGTTTCAAGCACTGGTCAGATGGCTTTCCTGGCTCATTCTAGCACTGAAAATATTCATCCGCGCAAAAACGAGCATCTGATGCAATGGGCCCGCCGAGAGGAATAGTTGCATGAGACCTACAAATTTCCTGCGTAATTAGTGATTTTGGGACAAAGGGGTCTTTGATAAAGAGGCATGATCATTTCGATGTCGTGACTCTGCCCGAACCATAACTGTACGCTCTGATAGTATATTATTCATCGGTGTATTTTTGAAAGCGACAAAATCTGGTGCGGGACATTCAGATTGATCAAGGAGATGATCTGTCGGGTTGAACATATAGAAACGGCAGCATGAGAAGTACAATTAAAAAAAACCACGATGATTGGATACAAAAGTTTTTGGATAGCTATTGAAGCGGTTCAAGGAACTGAACTGTCGTCAAATCTCTGCATTGAGCATCATGGGGCGTCCTCTAGGTGGACACTGACTGTACTCCCCTAGTTCCTGACAAATATCAAACACGTCTCATTTGGCATAATCAAGGGCTACCTGGAGTCTGACTGGACTGGGGGCAAGATTGCCACCAATACCGCCGACATGGGCAACATCCCTTGTGTAGGCTTTGCGAACGTGACTCGCATTTCGAGTAATGGCTGAACATATATGGGTGAGGACATCACAAATCTGCATTCCTTGAATTTCCAGGCCAGCGTTCTGTGCTTGAATCGCAGAGACGTCAAATCCGGACCAGCCGTCGTTCACGATTGAACCAAAGTTAAACTCTCCCCACGTCGACGCATAACCACCTCTAGAATCCAAAGGGATGGCAGTTCCAGGTGCAGCGGCCCATCCACCCTGGGAATCCTCATCAAAGACTATGAATCGTGTCTGGCCGGCGGCAAGAGTGAATTCCCTGCAAGCTTTGCCGTACCAACCGCCCTGAATACCGTCTGGTCCAAGTTTATTCCAGATCACCACACTCCAGTCTTCTCCCCCTGCTGGTCCATTGAAGCGAACCACATACTTGTACTGGTTGGCTCGATTGGCAGGGAGTTCGACAATGTTACTCCCATATGGAACACCGACATTGCGTGGATGTGCTTTCCTGTCGCTCGGAGGCGTGAGTCTCGCGGGGTTCGTGACCAGGTACATGCGAGGTGAGATGAAAACATCCTGTCGGGGCCATTTCGGTGCACTTTCTGAGCATGGACATTGTCGGTACCCTTGACAGCAGATTTCGAACCATGTGAAGGCACCCATAAGCTGTAGGATATGCATCATTGCGGGACACATGTGTATGTGAATTGAATGCCGAAGTAAATGAGATTGATCGAGAGAGAGGAGCAAGCTGCACAGAGAAAAGCTGCACAGAGAATACTCTCGACTTATTGTATTGTGCTTCGCCAACAAGTCGTTCCTCGAATGATTCAGAGGGTGCAAGATGGTGAGAATGTTTTTCTTTGTTCGTACACTTTGGTCCGTTGAGCTCGAGCATGAAAAGTAATACTGGTACATACGAGAATCCACAGTGGCCTAGGTTTGCTGGGAATTCAAATAGCTCGATTCTGTATGTGGGAGAGACCAAGTACTTCAGAAAGCTTCTAATTGCACCCGGGAATATTTGCGTACGTACTTTTTTATGATTCAGGTTCGCTGTGTCTATTCTGTCTTGCCTTGATACAATGAAAACGACTTTAGTTTTCGATCGCCTTGTTTGTACCAATGTATAGTATGATAATCGCATTTCCACATCCTGATAATATCAGCCTGGAAAGGCAACATAGACAAATATCAGGTATAGATTTGTAGTCATTGGGCGCTCCTGGATCATTCAGCTCAGTAGTTCCAGGAACCCAGAATTCAACTCTCTGTATCCGACAACTGGCATCGGCTCAAGCACAGCTCATGGTGTGAATTGTCGATGTGTGTTGTCCTGGACGAGTCAAAGTAAGAGCCGTAGTACTACAATCAATGTAGCATGGCTGTAGTGGAAATGTTTTGAGTGGGCGATGGCTTAGACCCTGAAAATTCGATCATCAACAAGTGAGGCCACTTCCTCAGAACACAGCATGATCGTCGGCTTCTGTTTGAAATCAACAGCCAATGCTGAAATTCAGATGATGGTGATAAAAGCGCATGCTGTCGCAGTGGAGCGATGATCGCTGCCCACCGTTTCAACTGTTGAAAGTACGGTCGTTGAGACAAGGTTGAACGTTGATCAACGCTCTTCAGACAAATAATAATTAAAAATGAAATTATTTCTTTAAAAATTTATTTCTATTTGAACATTTCAGAAATTGACTTGAGGGCATACAGTAATTCACCCTTGAGATGACCGTTCACTCTTCACCTGCCTGTTGACATTTGCATAGCCCACTACTTCAAGTAAGTCGAGGTTCAACAGGCCTGACTTTGCACAGGTAACTTCGATGCCCCGAAAACAATGCCCCTCAGAAATCGACAGACCAAGAAGATTTCACCGCGGCAATACAAAGCAGGCGGTAACAAGACCTGTAAAGAGACCTATAAATATGGCCTCCTTCCCACATTCTCTGTCAAAATAATTATCTTCCTTGCCATATCTGACGAGTTCCTCCAAGCTGAAACCAAGGCGCCCTGCTACAGCAGATGATGCGTCACTTCTCTTTGACCCCAAGCATTCGCTGTGACTGACATCCTCGGTGTACACAGAAGCCACCAAGTCACCTGCCTCTCCCTTCCCACTGGTGGTTCACTCCACTGTGCCGGTCTTCGTGCCTGCGGGCCAGAGCTTGGGCCTTGACTGGCGACAATCCTTTGGTGAGTGCTGTACTCATGTGCCTTGTCGAGTTGAGCTAATAGTGTGACTTCTGACTAGCTTCTTGACCACAAGAGTGCAAGCGAGGCATCCCGCAGGTAAGTCCCCTGTCAGCCCCATACCCGTTGGCCAGTGCTAAAACTCCCCATGTTACGACCAGTCAGGTCTATACCACAGCCCCAAGTCAGCACTCCAATGTTATACAACTACTTGCCAGTCACACCGATAACAATCATCATGAGACCAACTTTGGTTCCACTGCTGTCATGTGCTTGTCGAACAGTGCCTCTAGCGAGATCATCTGCGAGATCTTTGAGTATCGAACACCGCCATCATTAAGCCCTTTCCGTGCACATGTCGCCGTTATCCTGAATGTTTGATGTTCTGATAGTGTCTCAAGCAAGACTACTCGTGCACTTCATCGCGGTCACAGGTCTCGTGCGGCTGGATGTGTGTTGAAATATGTACGCCTGTTCGGTGCTTCTGCCCCATCACCACCCGTTCATCGTCAGCCATGATCGTGGCTGGGTACAGACAGAACAAACCGACCTCATGGACCTAAAAGAGGGAACATGCGTTGGGTCGGTTGGAGTTGGGACTTGTCTCCCCAAGACGACCCTTTTACTGTCTCGGCAGTGTCGTCCGTCGTTGGTGCAGGGTGAGACGAGATAACAAGACCGTGAGTGAGCCCACATTATGAGACACATGCTGACTATCTTGCAGAGTCACTAGTCAAGACGCTGCGAGACATGTCGTGCAGCTGAACGAACCTTGCACCGTCGCCACCTTCCATGAAGCGATGTATCTCGCTTTGGAAAACGTGCCGAAGTGAAGAAGTCGACATGAATTAGGCTTGCCCGATCACTCCACTCTTTCGCCTCACCCACTGATGCCCCCTTTTTGAGAACATCACTCTATATCTCTGGGAAGTTGAGGCAGCCATGCGACCAATGTACCGGCCGCCAACACACGGTGCATGGTAAGGTGATGAAGCCTCAGTCTGTGGATTTCGAGGAACCCTTTCATGGTGGGACGGGCTTCCTCACCTGCGGAGGGTGCGAGTCAGAAGAATGCGGGAAGTCCATCCGATGGGTGGACAGATCTTGCTTTTCGGGATAGACGTCAATCGCCATGGACCAGTCCAAGAAGAAGGCCATGGAGCAACCAGACCTGCCACAAGGCTTGTCGCTTTCTGCTTTGCTCCTCCCCCTGCCAATCTGGTGGAAGCCATTGTCACCAGAGGTTAGAGTCATCGCTTTCGACGACAGTGATTCTTTCGAAGAGATATGCGGCTGTCTGCAACAGCAGATCGCAGGCATATCGTTCATCAATCTTGTGCAGAGCCAGCGACAGAGCCTGGTTTGTGCGGCCCAGCAACGAATGAAGCGACCATCGCCCCCGCTAACCAATAGTTGCGTTCCCTTCTGCCTCTTACAACTGCGCGAGACGTCTCCATTGGTAGCTCGCCAGATTTATGCCTCCTGAGCGCATCAAAAGTCGTGATCCATTGTGCATGTGTTGCCCTACTGGGTGCTACCACTGGGCCAGGAAAGTCATTCGAACCGTTCCGCGTGGCGTAATAGAAGCGGCTTTGGGCAGACTCGTTGATACAGCGCTCGTCATCGCCGAGGGAGGAATGGGCACGACCTGGATTTGCGAGCCTGTATCTTGAGCATAGCATCATATGCGGACAGACCCTTCTGTTTTCACAGGCCCCTGCTGCCCAAGATAAGTACCAAACCTTTGATCTTCGGTGTCGGTGCTCACTGCTCACTGACACGGATCATACACCTCCCGAACGATGAAATCATCCAACTCCGTCACGCTGTTGATATCGCCATCACTCGTGCCTATCAGCTAGGGTCAAAGTCACAAATCTCAACCGCATCACCATATCCCGCACGTTTGACACCTATGAACCTGGCCACCAAGCCGACCAAACTTTGCCTCTCCTGGCTTCTTTCAAATATGACAGCATGAAAACTTTGTCTTGTGCAGCTATGTCCCGGCCAGCCCAATACCACACGAGACTGCGCTGAGCACCGAACTTGCGGCCAGCCCAATCCATACTCAACCGCCTCAGGTTAACACTACAAGGGTGGTACAACTGTCAGCCCGGTACCTGGATAGGTGAGTCAGGGGTCGTTTCTTGATTCAGTCACTAATACCGTGCCCAGTGGGACATGCCTCAGGCACACGTCGAGCAAATGATCCATGCTTCAGGCTACGACAGACTGCCACCTTGCAGCCCATCTTGTATCAATGCACACTCGGCCAATATTTCGCGAGAGTTGAAAATGATATCACTGTACCAGACAAGTCTACAAACCCATTCAGCCATGGACAAAGAGATATTGTGGAGCAATATATGTACGGGCTGAAGAGTTGTGAGATCGAGGATGATAAATTGTGAGTGGCCCCATATCGCCGGATGTATACTGACATCTTTGGAACAGTCTTTGAACCGTCACCCGTCAAGTGCGTTACATTGTAACGACACAATGTGCACATACTCGCTATCCTCGAATAACACATCCTTCCCGCGGGGAAGATCATCACTCGACATGAACATAGCAGTGGCAGACGAAAGTCTGTGGTATAAGGCTGCTCGGAAATCGTCGCGACTGCAGGACGCTTGATCAGCACGATCAGTGTAGCAATCTCTTCGATGAATCCGGTAATGCGGCCAACCCATTTGGCGAGAGACATGGGCTCCTCGCTTGAGCATACCGAGTGACGGGGATGCCGTCTCGACATGGACACGCGAGCTCGGCGGCATGCAATCAATTGCGGTGAAATGGCAGTTCCGCCATCGCCTCAAGGTCAAATGCCGACACCGAATATCCCTCGCCAATGCCGACTACTTGGGAGTATCAGTGTCCAACTTCCAACCGAGATGCCAATTATGAAGACCGCATTCACACTACACATGGCTGGCCGGGTGATCAATGGCGAACAACCTATATACCATGCACTCCTGCTTGGTTTTCCCGGTAGCAGCCCTCGTCACGTAAACTGGGGTGGGGATCCGAGACGGGGATCATCACAAATACCGTCGGCCCTCAAGCCCAAATATTGAGCATTGGCTCTTTTGCCAGGCTTTCCAAAAGCTCACCTGGCGATTGGGCAGTGCCAGAATGAGTTTGTTCGATTTGGATGCACCCTTAATCCACCCTCCAATCGCCAGTCAAAATGCTGATCAGTCATCGGATAAATGTGAGTCAAAGGTCCCTTTTCTGATCTAGAGTGAGCTAACGTATGCCCAACAGATTTTGTCTCGATGAAACCCAAAGCACGCCATCACCGCCGCAGGCATTTGACTGCCTTGTTTCGGATATGTAGCTCATTTCAAAGTAAGCGTTGTCGGTTTCTCATACGAAAGGGCATGCTGAGCGACATGCTCACGAAGGACTGACCGCCACGGTTGGCTGGTTCAAGTCAGTGCCATGGCTGGACTTGGTCGGTCTTGAGTCAGCTTTGTGGGAGTTTTCTTGTGGGAGTTGGCTTGTGGGAATGGGCGCGTGGGATTTGGCTTGTGGGAGTTGGCTTGTGGGAATGGGCTCGTGGGAACGGGCTCGTGGGAGTTGGCTTGTGGAAGTTGGCTTGTGGGTGTTGGCTTGTGGGAATGGGCTCGTGGGAACGGGCTCGTGGGAGTTGGCTTGTGGGAATGGGCTTGTGGGAGTTGGCTTGTGGGAGTTGGCTTGTGGGAGTGGGCTCGTGGGATTGATATGTGGAATTCGGCTCGTGGAAGTGGTTCGACTAGGACTAGGGGGAAGATACCTCTGCTCGAGGTATGCTTCATAGTCTTTCTTGTCGGCTACAGCTCTGATATCACCTAAGAGAAAGAGAGAGAGGCCCAGCGCGATCTTGAAAGATTGACTAGAGCGAGCATTGATTGAGTCGAAACTTGGACGCCGTCAGAGCAACTGCGTGGTCTGTAATATCTACCGGACTTCATCAGAGGATCAAACATAAGGTAAAGCCGAGTGTTACAAGCGGTGAGATCCGATGTCGACTGACTTATTTCAAACGGCCACTGTCATGTGCAGACCAACTCCGCCGGACGTCGCGTAAACAACACTGCAGCGCGCGTCTGGGACGGCCTCACCGCCTTTGTCGTCGTGTCAGACTGGTGGACGGGAACGCCAGTCCAACCTCTCTCGCTTTGGACACACCAGGCTGATTTCCATCCGTGAGGGTGCGAGTGCCGACACCATTCGACATTCTTACTCGACAAGCAGCTCAGCTTGCGAATGTTTATCATTCTTGGCGACCCTGCCTCCCTGCTGCGCGACCGACTATTACCGATCTACGTACACTGCAGTAGTCGAGCGAATATGCATTCCAGGCTGATCCAGTCGGCATTTGCGGTGACATGCAAGCAGATGCCGTCACCATGTCCTCGGTCCGGTCGAGAGAAGACGATACTCGAAACTTGAGTAAAGGTTCAACACAGGGATTCATCTCATGCAATGAGAATCTTGATGAGTGTACTCTCTTCATGGGCTGATTGGACGTGACTATCAAGCGGCACGTATGACATTGCGCCCGCTGGTACTTGATCTTTTGTCGGTGGGTGAAGCCACATCTGCCCAGCTATGCAGTGCAATCTGCGAGCTCGGCAACTTTGGCTCAATCCAAGCCCTTCAGAAGCCTTCCGTCCTGATCTTGTCAGTCGTTCTGAGGTCTGGGAGGTCTCAGAGGCACTCAAATTACGCCGTCCCTCGCAGTATCGGTCAAATTGCGGTTCTGCTCGAGCTATTCAAAGCGATTGGAGGTCTCGAAATGCTTGTTGTGTGCTGACCCGAAAGCTCACATTGTTTCCTCTCAAACGGCCTTTTCACGTGATATGTGCTTCAGCCCCGATGTTGCTGAAGACCAGTCGAATGAGCTTCCAAAAATCCATGCCTATTTTATTGGCGGTTCGAAAAACATACGGAATTCTGTACTCGGTGATATCAATTTCACCCAGGAACTCACTTTGATAGGTGTGGGAAACTATGAAGAGGAAGCCATGACCGTGTAAGGCAGTCCAACTGCCATAGCAGAACAAAGAAGGAGTCTTGCGTATTTGTGCTAGCTCAGTCGCTTGTCATTCAGGTACAATAGTGGGAGTTGCGCTACAGTGCTGTGGTGTGAGATGCAAGCTCGGTGTCTCTCTACGTTGCATCGTCCTGTTGAGTCCTTGTGACATCTGCGCCGCCGTGTACATTCCTGCATGACTGCGTGAGGTCATCTTTGCTCGGTCCAGGCCCTTCTCGGCGCGCCCGTTTGCTCCTTTTCCTAACACAGCAAGCTCTGCTGGCTTTGTCCTTGAGAATGCCATCGTGCTGAACGCGGGTGATGCGTCATGACACAACGCTTATTGGCCACCTCATCAATCACACATCTCGGCTTTCGCACCGTCATGTGTCTCATCAGACAGACAGCTGTGTCCCTACGTCGCTGATGTCTCGCAACGTATGATCACCACAAGGCCTTGACTTGCCTTTAAAGGCACATCTCATGTTCCTCGTGAGCTCTGACTGATGAAGAGCGACTGTGAGGTCCTTTCGTAGTATTCTCATGTGCTATCATCTAGTTTGAAGTAAAGTGCTCGTCATGCTGGGCAAACTCTAGGTCGGTGATGCAGGGCTCATTATGCTTTCGTCCTGCACACTGCTTCCGCCTACGTAATTCTCTGGTAAAACCTCAATGGTTTATCCTTCTCGTAGACTGACGACTGCTATCGGTAACACAATTGCAATATACCATGCTGTTCGATAGTCGTACTACGGCAGCCTCGTCAGGGTGTGGGGCAGGAGACTATGAAGGCTATTATAAAGCTTGATCTCCTAGTATTTCCAATTCCTCCCTTTATCTTTCATAACCGCATCAAGAAGAGTCGCCAGTCAAATTCTTCTGATTCCTGTAATCAAGATTTCCTTGTTGTGCAAACATGGAAAGAAGCGAGCCGCCGATTAAGTCTATGATAGGAGAGAAAATACCAGCCTTGCTAACGAAATGCCTTGCAGCTATTTCTCCCAAACCTCCTTGTGCTGTACAGAAAACCCAAGTCGCCCCAAAGTCACCATCAACAAATGAGGCAAGTCGCCACACCGATATTCCAGAACCCGGGAAAGAAGATCCCGTTGACTGGGATTCCTGGCTCACTCCCGAACCGTAAGATCAACGAGATAAGAGCAAATATGACACAGAATAAAGGGATAGCGCATGAGAAGCTAGATAGTAGGAGAAAATAGGAGACAATGACATATAATAATCGCAGAAATGGAGTTATAACAGCCGAAATAAAGGAGTCAAGGGAACCAAAGGAGTATATTGTTGTAGATGAGAAGAAAGCTCCGCGGGTCAGGTAGCCCCGTGACATGAGAGATATGTCACCGCAAACATCAACAGAGGAGGAATATTGCATATGTGGTCTGTTGTTCTAACAGTTGCAGCCTCAGTTTCAGCCTCAGAGAGTGGGGTGGGAAATCAAGAAAATATCCTTGAATTAAAGCAGGTTTTCCTGGACTTACGCTGGGGTTGAGGGAGTACTTTCAGGCAGGAAGACTTAGGTATTCTTGGAGTTTGATGGTGTTTTTTGAATCTCATCGTCGGCAATGCCGGGACGGCCGCAAGTTGGGCAAACACCACAATTCAAGCAAACACCAGATTTTGGAGACTCGCTGTGAGGATTTTCTCTAAATCTCTCTAGTGTTTCAAATACCGGGTGTATTATTACCGACCCCGTGACGATCATGACGAGAAATGTGGGTATGGCAATGATAAGTATTGTCTGGAACGGAGCATCATCCATGCATTTACTCAGGTATGCGAGAAAAGCATTGGGATAGGACTTCATACTTGTAGTGGTTTTGGACGTTGTGAACTTGGCGTGAGTAATGAGAATTGAGGGAAAAACAAGAACTCTGGGGCTAAATCCTATATAAGCTTGACGTGTCTCGTAAACATTCTACCGAGTAACTACTAGCGTTCCCAAGTTAATGCTTCTGCCTATTCAAACCCTATTCAGACCCCTTTGTTTTCCTTTCTTGTGCGAACTACCAATGATAAGCTAATCTAAAACTGTTGGACATAAACTGCCTCCTCAAAGTGCCGGCCTAACTTCGGCCCCACCTCAAAGTGCCTTAATATGCTACGAACTCTCGTTCTCCACCTCCCTACGGTACGCCGTCAACCACTAACTTTCAAAAATTATTACTCTCAGCAAATATTGACTTCTGCTGCGACAGGCCCGGGTCCACGTGTGTTGACTGCCCACCATATTAACAGATTTGTACTCCGTAAACTAGTTATAGGAAGTGATACGCGTTTTCTAGCCTTATGGGGCAGCACCAAGCTTTTCTAGGATGGTTAGCCGGGCTCGGCAATTCCATCTGCGGCAATTTGGAATAAACAATGAATAAATCTCGCTTTTTATGCAACGACATAATTTTCTATAGTATGATTATCCCCGGTCCCTGACCCGAAGAAAAATTGAACACAGTTCGTTAGAAATTCGAGGAGTCGATGGGGCCGACTCCTCCCGAATTTGCTGTGTCAGTTTCTCTAAACTCATCAACTTCGCTCGCTCCACTTTGTAAGAAACGCGATTGACGCAGCTAAGCTCGTTGTTTCTTTTGGTTTGGACTCTTCTACCTGAAATCAAAAGGCAGAACGTACTGGAATCTCATTCACTTAATTGTTCCATTCGAAATTATGGAGAACAATTTTGAAAGCAAACACATCCGGTTGATGAGATCCAAATTACTGATTCCCAATGGAGCCTTGTCCGAAACGGCCTTAACGTGAGACCATGGTGGGTATCTGTATTTAGTCCATTGACATCGGAGAAATTGACACACCATACTACTTCCAACTTTTAAGCACAAGAATTTCTCCACCGTCGTCCGGAATACATAAACAGCAGCCAAAGTAGCTAAATTTCTGGGAAAATCATTCAAATCCCTGTGCATTGGTTTCTCAGAGTGATCTCTTCAAATGATCTCTCCTACTTGGCTTGGCCCAAATTCCTAGCATTGTTGCTAAGCCAGTGGCTTCAAACAATTCTACAGACGTCATCATTACACTCACTGCCTCTGATTACTTCCCAAATTCGAAGGGAAACTTGAGTCTTTTCGACGTGGATTGTCTGTTCTCGGGTTATGACGCCGATACTCGCGCCTGGCTCATTTCCCTTGACCCAGCCTCGGCCACTACCGACGAGGAAAAGGCAATCATACTTACTGAAGCGGCCTACTCTAAGAAATTTGACGAGAATGACTTAGATATGGTTGAAGATGTCGAGTATATGTTGGCTCAGGTTGCTGGCAATACGACTTCTCTCGGAAAGCGTACCGGCTCTAGCACCTTTTCCACGAGCTCACGCCACACTGTGAAATGGGGCGCTTGCGCGGCATTTTTTTCATGCATAAGTGGAAAAACCTGTAGCTTTGACCTCGTGACGGACAAGGCTCCTCGCAGCAAGTGTGTGTCCCGTGGAGGGAGTCACTGCTGTATAAGCTGGTCTACCTACAAGGTGCGGGCAGCCTTCTTCTCTACTACCTGGACATCATGCGACTCCGAGGTCGAAGCGGAAGACCTAACGAACGCCTCTTGTGAAGGTCACGGCAGCTCCTCTCAGGGTGGCGACGTATGCCTCAGTAACAGAGCCACTCATTGTGGCTGATATCCTTTCATAAGGCCTGGATCGAACGTCTGTGCTTGGGTGAAGCTATCGGCGCCAAAAGCACCAAGGCAGGAAATGATTACAATGTACTACGGGAAAAGAACGAGAGAGCACACAGGAGATACTGTACTGGGTGGGATGGAGAAAGGAGGGAGGCTGGATGCTTGTCAAAACAATGGATCATGTAATTACAATGGTATTGAAATACCGCCAAGCACCAGTCCAGGGGCAGCTTAACTATATTAAGTATAGTTTGATGCAAGATAAAGTTCTTGTTGGAGCACCTGTATTTATGGTATTGTCCTGTCACCCTGATACGCACTACTCATGCATTAGGGTTAGACCTGTATCTGCAGTATTGGGTCGTGACCCACAGAACTCCACAACAATACAACTGAGATACACATGCAACAACACTTAGCACTGTTACAGATAGATGTAAATTACCTGGTTGGCTGGAACGATTGATACGTTTCGGGAAACACCTTTATTAACTTCTCCTCTGTACTATGATGTCTCTGTATCATCAAGTGCTAGACTAGCTAATGTTCTGTTACATTTGTATAATATAACCAAAAGAAGCCCTATCCGGAAGTTTGGCAAACATTCCAAGCAGAACGAGGTGGAACACAGGCATTCAGAATTATATACTGTCCAGAATTCTCGGTTCATCGCAGTTCTCTCGCCTCCATTTTGGTTTAGTATTCAGTACTAGCGTAGTTCTTTACAGCGATACATGACTCTGCAGCGCTGTTAAGCCTGGAAGTGAACAATTTTGAGATATTATCAAGACTGCATTAAGAAACCATAAAAAAAACAAGTCCAGGAAGTCGTATCAACAGCGGGCGCGTAAGGAGACGGTTGCAAGAGCCTAGGATAGACAGAAGTAAGGAAGAAACCCATTGCTATTGTTTTTATCTTTACTGTATGTCAAGCATGTAATTGGGCTTGCAAGTCTTTATCTGTTTATTCATGCTGAGAGCACACTTGCCAAGTATATCACCATTTACTAGGGAAGTCCAATATCTGACGATGGTCTGGGATGTCGCAAATCGTGGTGGAATATCAACGTATGTATTTTTATATATTATGTATGATATGGAATTATTTTCTTTACTTAATACTTAACTAAGACTAGAATATATTAAAATACCTAGGATCATGTGATGACTCTTACAATTCCGATATCATTTCCCACATCATTGCTGAATATATTTGCGCCTCGAACACAGGCTGATTTAGATTTACGCTTTGGAGGAACTTCCCACTTTTTTCAATTGGACTTATACGAACTATTTCGTGGGTAGTCATGAATTCAAAACATAAAATGATAGGAAATCTCTGAAAACAGGAGCTGAATTTAGATTCTATTATTGACTGATACGGGCAAATCTAATCAAATCCTGGAGTTAAATTTCGGCATTTAGATACATGGAATCTCTGGTTATATTCACAGTACTTGTTATCTTAATTTTAGGCATAAATGTCATTCCTATAGATTTATCTAGTGACCGAGGGTCAACAACTCACAGAAGGAAAGATAAAAAGAAGAACAAAGGGATAACGTAGCTCTACAGACCTTGGGTTTCTTTTTTGCAACTTAAAAAGCAATTGGTTGTGGTTTTGGGTGGTTAGTTAGCATACGTCATGTGGCAAATCCAAGCCTGACAGCTGCCTACTTCATTCCACGGCGGAAAGAACTTTTTAAATCTTGGCACCACAAAATCAATATTATTCCGACCATTTCCGATTCGGCTAAAAGCCCCGCCTCGGACATTGTGATTAATGACACTGTGAAATCTGAATTCACCTAATAAGTCGAAATCATATTGCCGCTCGATGGAGCCGGAAACGGCCAGGTCGGCTGTCGTATGCCAAGATCTCCACCCCCGGGAACCATTTGAAACAGTAGCTTAGTCTTGGCACTACCTGTCCGCATGACACATCAAGTTTTCAAGTGTGCCCGGCAGAAAAGGCCGACGCTTGATAGAGTAGCCTAGCCTATCGTATGACATTCGTGAACGAACCGGGTACCGTGGAAAATGTAACCTTATAAAGGTTGACTCCCGGAAGTAAATAGCCTTATCTATGGCAGCAAAGATCGACTGGCGATTTAAAGTCAGAATCCATGGATTTGCGGGAGCGACAGTACCAAACATCATCTCCGCATCGGGTGAACTTTAGTTGCAAGAGATAACCGGCTCAACCATGAATCTACGGCACTCGTGCCTCAGTAAGAACATGTGGCGTACATTGGTTTGCGGCGAAATAATGTATTTTGAGAGCCCAGGATCGCTTTTTTTTCCTTGAGAAAAATACCCTTCATCCTATTTATTGAGCTCCTAAAGGATTACTGCAGATCATGTATCAAACCTTTCCTAGGCACTTCACTAAAAAAAGGCTTGATATACACTGAAAACCATCGAGTGATTAACTGATTCAAATAACCAATTTCTGAGTTTATAGCCAAATTGTATGATTTAACCTCCTAGTTTGATTCATTCTGTTTAGTTCGGTAGCCTCTTATGTAGTTTGACTATCCAATCATGGATCACGGCCTTGGCATTTCCGCATCTCTGTCTTAATATCCGGCGCCTTTTTTTTAGCTTTGGAATCTAGACGTATATTGTTTGGGTATTATTATGCCAAGAACAGTAATCAAGACCAAGGTACCATAATACCATGCCCTATGGCACGCTCTACCACATCATCTCCACCAACGTATGCCTCTTCCATAACTCTATTACGCTGCTTTAGCCACTGATCTCGATATGATGCTGGCAATGGACCGAGTTAAACTTGGTATCTGCGCATGAGCGTGACAACGGTTCCAGGAGACAAGCATCCAAATGGGTATTCTCTGGAAAGTTCAAGCTTTCAAGGTATATTTGTTGCTGTAACTTGGGGCGTCTCGCCACTCCTGAGAATAGTAGATTCATCTCGATTCGGACCGCACAGATTTTCCCAAGCCAATGAATCATCAATGGTAAAGTAAATCAAAGCTAGACGAGCTAAAGCTGAAACTCAAAACCTTATTATGTTCCAGTAAAACTATTTAAAGGCTCAAGAATTCACCGAATTCCATCCTATTGTAATTCACACTTCATAAACTACAAGAGACCAAAGTAACACATCGAATTCTACTACGCTACTCTTCAATATGCTTGTGAAAAGGCTCATTGCTGCCTTTATCCTCGCTGGCATGGCCGCCGCTTATCCGGCTGAGAACTTTGCATCTACATCATCTACATCAGATCTCGAAGAAAGAGCTACTTGCCCGAATGGTCATAATTGGTGCTGCAAGCAGGCTCTTGGGGAATTCGGAGGACAAGGCTGCTACAGTTCAAACGGCGGTAAATGTACCAAGGGCACATCCCCCATTTGCTGTATGAATGGCATTCAAGTCCTTTGCACCTAGACATAAGGAAAGATCTTATTCCCCCCTCGGTCGTTGTACAGTATGTGGTAAGAGATCATTTAACGTTCTTTCGATATTCAAACCCCGTGGCTTTACTGGTGGATGGTGAAAATATAATTACCTTGGAAGGATGAATCGATTGCTAATTCCTTTCACTTTGCGATTTCATAATAAGAAAAAAATCTTTAAATGATATTCGCTCGATGTCGAAGCATATTTGAACCCACATTTTTACATACATCAGATCGCACTTTAATATATACATGATGCGGGTCTATGCCCTTCGAATAATTCTTTTTACGAATTTGGCTTTTTAATGGCTATGAACAGGAGCTGGGCACCCATTGATAATTCGCGAACAATAGACATACTCCGTTCGTCTGTATCAGCGAGGCTTAAGCCGAACCAACATCAAATTGGGGCTAGTCTGTGTGATCCAGAAACGAAATTTTTTGATTGGATGTACAGTACCTCCCAGGACTAATCAAGATGATCCTACAAATGACCGTGAGGGACATGGGACTTGGCTTCGTGAGTCCAGGACCACCTTGTGCATTCATCAACGCACATACCACTCGGCCGCAGGAATCACATTTATGAGCATCCGCCATCGTATCTGAGCCTATGACTTGTTTTAATCAGATAGATCTAGTCTTTGAAGGGTGAATGGGGGGAAATCACCGAGGAGCATTGTTTTTGGGGGCATCGTAGTTGCCTGTGCAAATCAGCCCTGTTGAACTTCGACTTACAGAGGTGGCGGGCTCGGCAGAAGTCAACAGACAGGTGAAAGGTGAACGAACGGTCATGGTCAGGGTGGATTGTAGAAACAAGTTGTCTCCTGAAATTCTTGAAAAATAATAAATGATGATTCTCTTTTTTATTCAACTCACTTTTATTTAATATTTATCTTTCTTGAGAGCGTTGATCAACGTTTAACCTTGTCTCCACGGCCGGATTTTCAACACTTGAAAACGATGGACAGCAAATAATCATCGCTCGACCGCGACAGCATGCACCTTTATCGCCGTCATGTGAGCTTCAGCATTGGCTGTTGATTGAAAACTGAGGCTGATGATCATGCTGCGTTCTGAGCAATTTGCCTCACTCGTTGATGATCGAATTTCCAGAGTCTAAGCCATCGCCCACTCAAAAGATTTCCACCGGGTGTGCTGCAGCCATGCCACATTGACTGGCAGACTACGGCTCTTACTTTGACTCGTTCGGGACAACACCTATCAATGATTGACACCAGGAGCCGGTTTTCGGTCAATGCTAGCTGTCGAATACAGAGGGTTTCGAATACTGGGTTCCTAGAACAGCTGAGCTGAATGATCAAGGGGCACCGTGACAACAATTTTATACCTAGTGTTTGTCTATGGAGGACCGATGTTGTCAGAATGTACAAACGCGATTATTACACTATCCTTTCGTACTGTACAGACATGACGATTGAGAACAAAACTCGCGAATGTATCACGTCAGACAAGGCAAGACAGATAATCTGAATGGCAAAAGCGCTAGGGACGCAAATATCTCCCTGGTGTATTCTCAAGCTTCCGAAACAGTTGAAATTAGGGTATTGAGATCAGGGATGGAACGAAGAGGGGGTGGATCCAAAAAGTGGTACGGTCAGCAAGCAGTGTGAAAAGCTTGATTAAAATAGTTCCCAAGTTCTATCCAGCAAGGCCGGAGTTATTTCTACACCCGAAACCGAGTTCAGGGAACTTGCAGCTGGAAGGCGAGAGTCTCCCACTTTGGGCTACAAGGATGATTAGCGAATACTCCAGCAAAAAGACCTGACAGAGGAATCCGATGTTAAGGAGTCCAATGAAATCGCATTCTAGCTGAAATGGTTTCTCGCGAACGTCTTCGCCCGGTCGTTTTACCCTCAGCCACCGACTTCTGTTTTAGTCGCCGCCTCCATAGCGACGCTGAAAGTCGCTAGTGGTCCGAAGAATCCTCCGGATTGCTACAAGTAGTATGTTCAAATGGCTTCATTGCTAGAAAATTCTGCAATAAACTGAAAACGACGTCTTCTCTTGTGCTACGCCTGACATCGTTCGCGCGTCGAGCTAATCATCGTAAGCCAGCGGACCTAGAATTTGATGCCAGGGGATAGTGAGCACTCCCTCTGCGACGCATCGGAAGGCAATCTCCTGCCATTTACGAAGGCATCAATCTGCTCGGGTATGTCCCGCTCTTTTCCAAAGTTTGGCCCCGTATTTCCGAGTCGGGTCGAGTTTTCACCATACTACCCCAAGAGGTGCCCCTTCCCTAGGGACAAGGTCAATCATTTTCTTCCTAGTAGATCTCCTCTTCCTCTACAGCATCATCAGAATCTGATCCCGATGGGTTTCGACGTTTCTCAGATTCGAAGAGTGACAGAATTAATGCACGCTGCAATAGAGCTAAAGCTTTGTCGTCGATCAGCCGAGGCAATTTTTGGAATGGCACTCATTTTTACACATGAATACAGTACACTGGGGCGAAAAGCTACCACCAACAATACTTGGCCCTAAGTAAAGTCGGTACTGAGTAGGAAGCCAGAAGTAAGCGCGCTGCTGGCTCGAACCCGAATGCTACCAGGCGCATAATTTTCCACCTGGTCTTGCAGTAATTGTCGCTAAAATTGATAGGTCACGTTCCAATCACTCAGGCACCACAAGATTTTGCGTTGCTCCGTTGCTAATTCAGGTCATCACAATCTGAACTTCAAAGAGGCGTGGCTATAGAGACCGTTGATTATATTGTTATCAAACATGTTGTTTCGCCCATCCTAGTGAAATGCTATGCCATCTGTTGAAACATGGTTATTCTTTCGTAGCACACACGGTGCAATACCATCGCGTTGAGTTGTCTTTCACCTTTGTTCTGTTGACTGGCTCGATTCTATTTGCAATGCGCGATTTGATTGCAGCGACGGTGCGGTTTCATAGATCCAGTCTTTACTGCCTAGCGGGCTTGCAGAGAGTTACCGAATGTATCTGACCGCAGAGATCGGAGAAGTTCTAGATGGGAGATTTCCATGGAGCCAAGGGGCAGTGCCTCTTGGCGAACCGAGATCAACCACGGGTCAGTCAAGACGTGCCTCTTACGGCCACCAACTCTCGAAACACTATTTCAACGTCCGTTTAAACATCTCAACACCCATCAACGAGACAGAATTTCTCGCTTAATTTGCGCAAGCAGTCGCCATGTAGAGACGTAGCCAAAATATTATAAAGGAGCCAATTACCCAGCCCAAAATATAAGACTTGTCTACACACCCTGATGCAATCGAATTGATTTTTCTGTGAAAGTCCATCGACTTAACGAGAGCTTTCTGTTTGCTTTTCAGATTTTGTCGAAACGCAAGGACTCATGGACTTGTCCCATTCGGCTCATCGAGACTCGGAGCATCAACCCCGCAAATATACTGCCCAACTTGTGAAAATGTTGGAAGAACAAAATCTTCGCAGTCAGACTGGGAATGAGCGCCAATTTGAATCCACTCCTTCTGTCCAGATTGAATGTGATGGAGTACCAGCTATTAGAAAAAAGCAGCACGAAAGCAGGCGCCACAGCGAAGATTCAAAAAAACATGGTCAAGAATCAGGGACAGGCGATGATCCGTCGTCTAGACTGCACAGGCGCGCCAACTCGAGCAACCAGTAAGCAATCACCCCCACTCTCATTTGTTGCCTTTTCTTCAAATTTTCTTACATACTTGTTTCAGATCTGTTGAGCGAATGAAGTGAGTACCTTGCATTTCCCTTACATGCTGTCTCACTATCGAGACTCACTTGTGTGATTATGATTTTTCTTAGCAATATAATCTCTTCTGCATCAGATGGGCTGACAGTGAATACCAGGACGAGAATGAGCAAGGCGTACAGGCGCTCAATAACGTTGAAGAATCTTGCTGCCGAATTTGAGGTCTTCAGGAGTGAGCTGGATGATCTCAAGAAGATGCACCTTTCTTGCCAGTCCTTCCCGAGTGAACGGCATCGGAAAAAGCGCGTCCGTTTCCAAGACAATGTCAGCTAAAAGGTTAAAAATGACGCAGAAGGATTCAAAGTGCTTTTCTTTCCCGTTTTGTCTGGTATTGACAGTAATTTGTGTCTAGTCTACTTAGGGTATTTTGTCAAGTTGAGAATACCGTTACCACTCTTTCGGGACTGAATTATTCAGCATATACTCTTTCTCATCAATTCTGTCATATCGCTTCAGGCTATAAAGGCGTTGTCTTATCCTCTGATTTCGGAAATCATCGCTGCAACAATTATGGAAGCTAGAATAACTCTGAAAACCAATATTTAAGAGGAAGTGCCTCCGCTGAACCTGGCTGTGGAGAGATCCATTTGCTTCAGCTGCGTATGTCGTTCAAGCCAATCTTCACAAACACCATCTCATCCATGCATCTAGGTATTTTTTCCTCCATGTGGATCTAAGCTCGACGAAAATACATACGAGGATCAATGGGGTAGCTTAGAGGCAAGCGATTTACAGCGACTCTCTATGCCTTTCACCACTCTGCCTGGCCGATCCCTTCAATGGCTGCTAGAACCAGGGATAACACACTATCAGATTTCCCTCACCCAGCATCCAGTGGCTATGAGACTCTATGGACCGCCCTCCCCAATCTGTCCCCTTTTCGAAATTGCCTGTGCTGGTGAGGTTTTGTTGCAGCCTTCAATATCTTTGTGCCAATAAGGACATGAAATACGAGGATTTGCGGTAACTTAAGTTTGCTGGGGACTCAACCAGCTCGACTTTCCATGTGCGGGAGACGTTGCACTTCAGAAAGCTTCTGAATGCACCTGGGAAATATTTGCGTCTCTACTGTTACGGTATACCGAAATCATACATACGACAAAGTCGCCTGAAAAAAGTCCATACTCGATGTGTGTGAACAAGAAGCGGACTTTCTTTTGATCACCGGATGGACCTGACGCACAAACTAGAATGTTCTCCCCTTTGTGAGTCAACAGCTTCTCACCTAGAAGACTGGAAGACCTTGCTGGGAACGGAGCAGCTATTGTACGCGAAAGAAGCGTCGCCAGCTACAAAAGCAGGTGAGTGAGCTCGGGATTGGAAAATTCACATAAATTAGCCTATGAATGAGAAATAATGCTTGCGCATGAGAGATCGATAGCCTTTTTCAGGCTAGAATCGTATTGGAAACAATGGAAAGGCTGAATACCAAGGACTAACATCCAAGTCTACCATTGAAAACAAAGGATTACTGTATCAAATAGCATCCACAAATTCTTCTTCAGAACCCAACGAATCTACATGTACATCCGACAGTCTTTTCTCGTCTCCTGCTTCCATAACATTCTTTGATTTGACTTGCCAAATGATGACTTCCAGACCTTCGCCAATTTCCCTCGAGCGTTCCAAGTCTTCTTTAATCATCGCTTCTTTTGCATTCCTTTCCCGAACATCCAATTCACTGCGTTTTTTTTTGTATCTCCTTGAGTTGTGCAAGCAATCTTCTTTCCAGCAGGTCTTTGTTGCGCTGAAGTTCTTCAATCGCGGATCGAACTTCTCTACGGAGACATTCAATTTTTTTGGATCGGATTGAATCTTCCCAAGCCGTCAAAAATAACTGCGCATTCTCAGCAAGTCGCTCAACACCAGCTGCAGTCTTCCGAAGTCGGTGCACAGCAGAATGTCGAAGTTCTCGAAGGAGGCCAATAAATTGTTCAAGCGGAGGTTTGAGGAGCGGGTTGGACTGACGAGCGAGTATTTTGATCCATTCAGTAAGTTCAACCGCCTCAGGACAGTCCCATCCATTTGCTGCCAAGACCTGAGGGAAATTTTGCTGAGCAAACTGGAAGCAACTCTCTTCAACCAATTCCTGTATAGTAGTCAAGACTAGATGCTGACATCGATAGTGCATGTAAATCGGGTATAACGATTGAACAGATTCGGTGGTGCCTGGAGCTTGCTCTGAAAATTTTGCGAATGTCAACTGAGCGTCACAGAATGTACGTTCGTCTTTGACTTCTGTTTGAGAAATGACTGCCGTTTCTTTTGAGGCCTCACGGTCAGATATTTCTTTCACAGTATTGGCCTCGTCTCTTGCTGCCTCTGCCTCTGAAACTTCTCTTTCAGCGCTCCGGGTGGGTGATACGTCGAATAACTCCGGAAATCGAATTCTCGCCTTCAAGGTGGAATCAAAAACTTCGCTCTCTAGAAGCTTTTAGCCACGGTGCTAGTGCGATCGATATCATATTCCCGTAATATATCGGTGAGAGCAACTTCATTTTGCTTTATCAGTCCTTTGACCGTTTTCAGTTTTCTCACCTGAGAATACGTGCCGCGGAAGATATGTTGACAGGCCAAATATATCAGCCTCTCATCCGGATCGCTTTGCACCATTTTTTCAAGCTGATGTCTTCCTCCAAATGACCGAAATTTGCCCTCATCTTAAATTCATAGGCGCCTTTGCAACAAATACCGTATCCTGCGCAAATGAATACTACACTAGGAATGTAGTTTCCACCACCCCCTTGGAAGATGAGAGGCACATTCCCTCAATGTAACTCTCCAGCATTCCATTTTCATGATTCATGACACCATAGCATCCCTGTTGTATGACTGCATTTGCCGGAGATGCAAGATCGGTCGAATTTACTATCAGTGAGCGAGATCACAACCATCAAAATGTGCCAGAACCGGCCAGCCAAGACTAGTCCGAAACCCTGTAGCACGGCCCCCTCCATTGCCGAGCCAAACGTGAGCATTGAATTCAACTGTCGGAAGCCTTCGCACCCGTATTTTGAGATACTATTACGCTTTTTGCATCCAGGTTTGTTCGGTTTCATCTCTTTTGCCTTGATACGTCTGGAAAGACTCTGGTTTTCGATCGGCCATGCCTGTATTAGTAAACACTGTGATGACCAAGGTCTAAATTTTGATATGATGTCCACGCTAGAAGACACAGTGTAGACAATACCAGGATTGGGAATGTAGCCATTGGGCGCTCCTTGACCGTTCAGCTCAGTAGATCTGGAATTCCAACATCAAAGTCTCTCTGGCTAGCACTGGCCGAAGTCCGACTTATCGTGTCAATGATAAATGTGAGTCGCCCCTAAATGGTTAGAGTAAGTCGTAGTATTAAAGTCAATGTGGCATGGCCACAGTACGCTCAGTGGAGAAACTTTCAGTGGGCGATGGCTTAGACCCTGATAATTCAATAGTCAACAAGTGAGGCGACTTATTCAGAACACAGCATGATCGTCGGCCTCCGGTTTCAATCAACAACCAATGCTGAGGTTCAGATGATGGTGTTGTAGTGCATGCTGTCGCAGTCGAACGATGATCGCTGTCCATCGTTTTCAAGTGCGATCGTTGATCAGCGCTTCTCAGACAAATAATGATTGATTATGAACTTATCTCATTTTCTTGATGTATCTATCATTCACTTTAAATCCCAGGGTATCGCTTGATTGTACAATTCACCCCAATTATGACAGTTCAATTTTCACCTGCCTGTTGACTTTTGCCTAGCCCGTCACCTCAGTACGTCGAAGTTCAACCGGCCTGACTTTTCACAGGCAGCTTCGATGCCCCCGAAAACATGCCCCCGAAAATTGAAACAGAAATATTAACACTGCGGCAGCACAAAGCAAGCGGTAGAACAAACAGTCAGAAGACCTACAAATATGGCCTCCTCCCTCGGTTCTCTGTCGGCATACTTCTCTTCCTTACTGCATCTGAAGGCATCTGAAGGATTCTCTCAAGCTGAAATGATCATGCCTTCCTGCAGCATATGATGAATCCCTCCTTTTTGACCCCAGGCTCTTGCTATTACTGATACCCACGGCGGCCACTCTAACCACAAAGTCACCTGCTGCTCTCCCCCTGGGTGGTATTCCGCTGTATCCGTCCTCGCGCCTGCTAGCCAGACCATGAGTCTCGACTAGCGCTAATCCTTTGTGTAGTGAGTGCTATATTCATGTGCCTTGTTGGGTAGAGCTAACGATGTGACTTCTCAATAGCTTGTTGAGCACAAGAGTGCAAGTGAGGCATCCTGTAGGTAAGTCCCCTGTCTGCCCATACGATCGGACGGTGCTGAAACAACCAATGTGACGACCAGCTGGACCGTATCAAATAGGAAGACCCCAAGTGAGCACTCCAAACGTGTTACATACACCTGCCAACCGCACTGATGGTCGAGTCGCCCGTGAACCTCGAGCTCTTAATGTAAGTCATGAGCACGGACTTTGGTTCTACTGCTGACATGTGCTTGTCTTACAATGCCTTCAGCGATCATCAGCCAGGCCGGTGCTTTCTAAACACCGCCTAGATTCCCTCCCGCGCACATGTCGCCGTGATCCTGAATGATTCGATGTTCTGAAATTGTCTCAAGCATGGCTACTGGGGCACGCCGTCGCCACCGCAGGTCTCGCGCGGCTGAAACATCGATTGGATAGGTACGCCTGCTCGGTGCTTCTGCTCAATCGCCACCTATTCATCGTCTGTCACGATCTTGACTGGAGGACAGACGGACCCATCCGATCTCATGGAACTACAAGACGGAAGATGCGTTGGGTCGATTTGGAGTTGGAACTTGTCTCTGCAAGACGACTCTCTCACTATCTTGGTAATGTGGTGGTCCGTCGTAGGTGCAGTGCGAGATTACTGTAGATGAAAAAGACCGTGACTGAACTCTCATATGATTAGACACATGCTGTCCATCTTGCAGAGGCGCTGACCAAGACGCTGGGATCTATGACGTACAGCTCAACAAGCCTCACGCTAGTCATCGTGCCACTCTGGCCACGAAAGGATATGTCTCGCTTTGGAAGCCATTTCGAAGGTCAATGTGATCTGATTTGCCCGATCACTCCAGTCTTTCGCCTTACCCATTGATGCCGACTGAGGTCATCAGCCTCTACTCCACATCATTGGAAAGCTGAATCAGCCATGCAGCCAATATAACGACTGACAGCGCGCGATACCTACTGAGGTGATCAAACCTCATTCTGATGAGCTTGGATGTCCAGGGGCCTTTCACGATTGGTCCAGCTTCCACGCCCGTGGATGTATGAGTAAGAAGAATGCCGGAGGTCTATACAATCATGCACAAATTTTGCTTTTTTTTGGGACAGACGTCGATCGCCCAATGCAGTAATATGACCATGGAGCTTTCAGATGGGCTTGTCGCTTTCTGCAGTTGCTTTCATCTGCCCTTATCAAAACTGGCGGAAACCTATTTCACCATTGATGGAGAGTTATCGCTTTCGACGACAGTGACCTTTCAAAGAGACATGTGCGTGTCTTGCAACAGCAGATCGCAGATATATCGTTCATTCCTTTTCTACTGGACCAGTGAAAGCGTCAACCCCCTGCAGTCATACGACAAGCGAGTGCAGCGACCGTTGATCGACTCCTGAACAAAATGCTTCGCGTCCAATCGCCCGAGCGTTGCGTTCATCCTGGCTCTGACAACTGCGCGAGACGCCTTCATTGGTAGCTTGCCGGTTTCTGCCGCCACGGCGCATTGAACATCCCTATCCACCGTGCGCATGTTGCCATTCATGGCCGAATGCTACCATTGGGCAAGAACATCATTCAAATTCTCTTCCATGGTGTACTAGAACGTTTGGGGCTAGATTCTTTAAAGCGGCGCTTGTCTTCGCGACGAGATCGGATGGGACGACATGCGTGCGAGCCTACAGCTTGAGCATTGCCTTTTTGCAAAAGGGACTCCTTTGCTTTTGCAGGCCCCTGCCCAAGATGAGTTCCTCGCCTTTGGTCTCTGGTGCCGACGCCTCCATACTCACTGGTACAGATAATGCACCTCCCGACGGATGAAGTCATCCAGCTCCGTTGCCCGTTGATGTTTCACCATCGGTAGTGTCTATCAGCTAGGGCCAGGGTCACGAGTCTCAACCGTATCACCATATCCCGCACGTCGACACCTATGAGCCTAGCCACCAAGTTGATCGAACTTTGCCTCTCTAGGCGTATTGAAAGGAAAACAGCTCGAGCAATTTGTCTTGGGCAGCTATAACGGCCAGCCCAACATAATTGAAAACTGCGCCGAACACCGAACTTACGACCAGCCCAGTTCATCAATCACCTCAGGTCAATACTACAGTGGTTCAACTGTCAGCCCAAGACCTGAAAAGGTGAGTCAGAATTCATTCCCTGATCTAGTCACTAATACCGTGCCCAGTAGGATATGCCTTCGGGCACACATCGAGCAAATGGTCCGGGTTTCAGACTTTGACAGACTGCCACCTTGCAGTCTATCTTATATCAACGCACACGTCGTCAATATCTTGCGAAAGTTGAGACTTGAATCAGTGTGCCAGACAAGACTACGAACACCCTCCGCCATGGACAAAGAGCTATCGTGGCACAATGAAGGTGCTGAAGAGTTGTGAGGTCGAGGATGATAGATTAGTTCAATTGCTTATCATGAAACATGAGTGAGTGTTGCACCAGGCTGGTGTGGTGCAAGATGCGAGGCTCTTTATCTCTTCAGGCTGCGTAGTCTCCATTGAGTTGCCGCGACATCTGTGCCATCGCGTATGTGTCTCCATGATTGCGTGAAATCCCATGATTGCTCACATCAGGGGCTTCCTAGCTCGCTTGCTTGACCCCTTTCAAGCTTAGCAGGCTCTGCTGACTTTGATCTAGGAAATACCATCGTCTTGATCGCTGATGTTACGATGTGACTTGCCGCATTTCAGTCTACCTCTGAGCCAATGGGCATCTTATCGCTTTTCTATGTGTCGCATCAGACAAGCAGCTTTGCGTCATTGATCTTATAGCTGATGTGCCGCGACGCATGATTTCCATAAAGGCCTTGGCTTGACTTACTAGGCGCAGTTCCATGCCCCACGTACCTGATAACTGACAAACGGTGACTGTGAGGCTTTTTGGTAGTATGAACAAAGTGCTCATCAAAGTGGACAAACTAAAGGCGCTGAATGCAAGGCTCATTAAGCTTCCAGCGCGGTTTTTTTTCAATCACCTGCGTAGTTGTTCTTGTCAGTCCTCTACGATGTATCTTTCTCGTACAGCGGTGACTGCTGTCAGTGAGACAAATATAGTATCTCGTGCCATTTGATTTTCGTAAAATGGTAATCTTGTCAGTGCGTGAGGTAGGGGGAAGCTTACAATGGAGGCATACACAACAACGTGTACAGTGTCAAGTATACATCTCAGGCTAATGCACAGTGTTTGATTGAATACGGAACTTGACTTCGTGACCAGTGGAGATGCTGAGCATTTACTCGATGGCTTGTCTGTATCATATGTGATGGACCTTGCAATTATTGGGATCAGTAGTTGTTTCATGATGTATTGTACTGAGATGAGGCCGATGTATTCTTCACCGTTCATTATCTTTGTGTGGCCACAAG